CTGTATTTTTGTCATGTGTCCACCTAGCCAAACAGATAAAAATGTTCCTTCCTGCCACATAACTGCTTAAGCGGCGAGGGGCGATAAACTAGCCTGGCGATGGTTCAAAATCATGACGCCCTTCACTATAATGATTCCACAATTATTATCGCCTTATTAGGATATTAAAGCATTATTTTGTGAAGGTACAGAAATAAAATAAAACCCATATAAATAAGGAATCTCGATTGTACGAAACTTCTATGCTACATTGTGACATTAACAGCAGGTTGAATTATTTGGCTTAGATTCAAATGCTTATACTTTTGTGTCAAAACAGTGACAATATTTATTTATCTCGTCAATTGAGAGTGTACATCAATTTGGTGAACAAACGAGACGACTGTTTCCAGCCTACAAAATACCCGATGAGGTTCACACAACGATATAGAACAGTATCGAGTTCACTGATTACATCATTGACACAAGGACGTTCTCAACAATGAGCTTTGTCACTATGGATAACAATAGCGTTCAAAGGTTGTAAAGAGATTAAGCTGGACTATGTTCTTACCTGGATGTCGAGATGGGTGTTGGGTGACCCACCTACGTCACACGTATTTATGAATAAACACAGACCATTTTACGATAGCACCAAGTATACAAAGTGTATGTTAGATATGTACGGGATAGATGTTATTCTCAGTTAGTGTATCAGCTGTTATATGTGTTAACGTGTCACTAACATTTACATTTCATTTGGGTCAACAGTTAAATTGCCTGCTTATCTCATCGTCATATTATTATATTGTTTTACTCTTTATAAATATGAGATCTGCACTATTGTAACTATGAATCCGTCCAAATAGAGGTAACGGTATTATAATCGACATATTTGGACACTTTCATTATCTCTTTCGGACGTGTGGTAAAATAGGGATATGAACTGTATTTGTACAGTTATAAGAAGAGCACCTCAGTTGTTATAGGTAATAAATGCTTGACAAGGATTATTATGCGGACGTGTTAATGGGACATCAGGATAAGTATATCTGTACCAATAGTGATGCTGTTGACATTTGCGTTACAGAACATGCACTCTCTTATTGCTATCTGTATTACATATACATTGTGGTAAGATGACATATAGAGCTATGTACACCCCGATTCAAATTCTTTTGACAAGAACTGGTTGTTTGTAGCAGCCAAATAATCTTCTTTGGTATTTCTTATGAAAAGACAAAGCAGTACGGTATCCGTGAAACAATGGACATCTTGTATATAAGGACGATGTCAGTTGATCAAAAACTATATAGTTATTGATTATGATATTACAAGTTGCAGTATGATTATGTTGTGTTGTATCCCGCACAAGAAGTACACACAAGCATGCGGACAAAGTACAATCCCGTGATGTCACAAAGGATGATACGTTGTTCAGTTAGCCTTTTCCCGAGCACCTGGTGTCATCACTATTTGATAGTCATTCATAAACACATGCTTCTGATAGAGTTGGAAACGTACAATGGATTCTGCTTATGATAGAGATTTCATATGATTATGGAAATGTGTTTTCTCACTTTAATTTAATGGTCACCCTCAGTGCGTCTATTAACAGCATAGTGTGTGGAGTCATAGCAATACACAGCCATAATCACATGGATCTGATGTTTAAGTTGCTGTTTCACTCTCCGGGTGCATGAAGGATGATAAAGGCTACATTATGCATATCACTTCATACTAAAATCTTGAGAATGGACATATGCCAAAATATATAGATTTTATTTATTAAATGATATTAAATAAACATTGTACTGGAAACAGTGTTTGTTATTAGTTTTCAAATTGTATATTTGATGATTCATGTTCATAATAATGATGTTTGAACGAGGCGCAGGCACAACACGAAAACACTGTCTGTATTCCGAATACATATGGCTTGCCATGGGTAGGAAGTAGAAAACATGAGGTATGCCATGCCATTCCATACCAATGAACCATGTTAATAAAATATCTCTCTGGTCACTTAATAATTAGATTTGGAAACAAAATATGTACTTAGAATACAGAGAGACGCTATCCTTGCTAAAACCTTGCTGGCCTGTATTAATATGTCTCAGTCTATACATGGAGCAGACCTGTTGAAACATGTTTATCCAGGTACAGATATGTATAGTTTATTTGCACTGCCATGTCATTTGATTTGCGTCCCAAGTAATAATCGTCGTTTTGCTTTTCAACATTATATCACGTAACCTGTTTAAGCATCATTCGATGAAAGGTCGACATTTGTTCTACGTTGACATGAACGAATACTATCATCATATTTCTAATGTTACCTTTATCGTGTATTTTCTAAATACGTATTATGTCGTGGGTAGTTTATTTGGTTATGTCGAAAGAGAATAGAAGTATCGACCGTATGAATTATATATGAACCATTCAATTACAATTAATTTCAGGAGCCAGTGGGACGACCCAATATACATGACTATAGTAGAGAAGACGGACATTTCCACACATCCATGGATACAAATCAACGCTAGCCTGTACTTAATAAATACAATAATTAATAGTCACAAGTATACGATCTCAACTCGTTATCTAAGTTATATTCACATTGGGTACACACGCCGGTTGTCGCTAATCAGCTGTCAGGCTGCCCGCATTAGCCCGCGTCTGGTCACTTTCTTGAGAAGTAGGAAACCGCAAACTACGAAAACTAATCTATTCTCTTCTTATAGTCTGAACCCATAGGTTGGGGATTAAGCCATAATGGTTGCATAAGAATTTCATATTTTATCTTTATTCTTTAATTCATTATTTCCAAAATATTTAGTCATAGGCTACAGTGCCTTTTTTCCAAAACGGATTATCAATATGGACATTTAATTTTTCGCTATCAGTTCCATGTTGAAATATATTCTTCACTGAGTTAATACAGAGTCCATAGGAGCTCTAATGATAGCAACAAAACCATATTCATAATCATAAAAAGTCTAAACCAAAAACAGAGTCTGTTTTATGATTCCAAATAAACCATGAGCTTGTGTGTCTGCCCGGATTGTCAAAACATTATCAAGGCGATTTGGCCAAGAAGGCTTCAGGTGTATCGATAATCTCATATCGTTCAATAACGTCAAATAGCCCATTCCGTTCCATCGATTTACCCACCTGATCTAGAAATATAACCAGTGACCAGTGAAACCGCCCCATCTATTCAGAGTGACAAAAACTCTCCAGAAGACTCCAGAACGTCAAATAGCCCATTCCATTCCATTCCACCGATTTCACAATTTTTAGATAAAATTTCAAAGAGCGTCATACGACTCTTTCTCAGAAGTTGTTGGCCAGGATTACAACACTCACGGCCTCCGCAAAGCTTTCAAACAGTTTTATGGAAGATATGTTGAGGATATTAGTGACAAAAACAATACCGGATGCAATTCCCATTCGTGACTTGTACAACATGCTCCCGTGATTTTCAGGTGAACCAATATTTGTTTGTTTGTTTGTTTGTTTGTTGTTTAACGCCGCACTTGACCAGACAATCTAGTGATTGACATCATGAGCATCGATCCACACAATTGGGATCGATGACACGCATCAACCATGTCAGCGAGCCGGACCACCCGATCCCGTTAGTCGCGGTTACGAGAAGCATAGTCGCCTTTTACGGCATGCATGGGTTGCTGAAGATCTAGTCTACCCCGTATCTTCACAGGTCAGGTGAACAAATGACTTGCCTGTGCATGTGTTTGTGACGGGTGCCACCGGTGGGGCAGGATACGCTCACCTTTTCGCGAACACCTGTTCATGATATAGTCGTAATCGTACAATCGTCTCTGCTTTTGGCAGAGATTTTTAATAATTACGGCAAAGGTTTTGTCGCTTTTATTTATTATTATGATTATGGAAAAGGGTTTGTCATTGTTATATCAGTAAAATAATAATTCACGGAAGGAACTCGTGTCATACCAGCCGTACGATACCGAATAAATACGGCGCTTGGTGTTATTTTGGCTGTTACTGTAGTGAACTCTACCTTTGTTATGATAACAGAAATGATTTTGTCGCATATATTTAGGAAAGGCTTCTGAGCGGTCCGGGACTAATTCAGTATCGTCGACTCCTTTGCTAATTATGTTCTAAGTCATTTTACTGTAACCCGTTAATATGGTTATTTGTTATTATCGTGATTCCTAGAATCTGTGCAACAAGTAACAATAGACATGGTGCAATATCTCGTGGATCGCAATTTTCTCTAGAATGTCTGGTCATTTTATGAAGGAATTCTTTAGATAGTACCACTTTTAGGTTAAAACCTGTGAAATACCACATCTTTTAATTCTGCTATCTGTTTAAACTCACCATATGCATTGTACATGACGTCAAAGACCATGCATAGGTGACATGGTTGAACACAAATACAAATCGTCAGTTGTCGGTTACATATCACTGGTGTTATCAAACGGGCCGGTAACAAAAAGGAGGACAAAATCAGTAACGTAACACAGTTTTGCAAGTGGCTACACTCTACCATCTATTGGGACGTTATGACTACCTGGCCTGTAGAACATAACGGTGTTACAAGGTTGTTGTGTTTACTCTGAATATTTGTGTTCTCTGGGGAGATCCTTAGTGCACTGATTAAATTGTCTGTTATTTGAGTAAATTAATTTTTATGGTGTAAACAGCACAAAACACAATGGTTTAACTCCTAACTGTAACAATATTACTGACGATATCGATGGACGCCGCTCCATTTTGCTACCGGTCTAACATAATGTTTGCACCTCCATTGTTTGGCCTGTGTATCGTATACAAGGTGCGTGTCTCATGTCATATTGACCTAATCCTCACTATGTGAGTTAAGTGTACGTCTGTTCTATTCGTGATATTCCCTAACACTCAAATCTATTGTCGCCTGAAATCCATAATTAAGTACAAACTGACATCTGATGAATGTAATTGATACATTGAAACATTGTTAATTTCCCGAAAACGATGCCTTTACTCACCATAGATAGGTCTCGATCCTCTGGTTGTGCAACAATCTCTGTACAATGACTGGTTCAGTCCAGATCTGTTATCTGTCTGACTGTCGGTGGAAAAATTAAATAAGTATTTGATAGTGAGTGAGTGAGTTAATGCTTTACGTCACATCGGCAATATTTCAGCCATATCGTGACGAAGTATTTGATAGAGTTGAGGCGAAATGTTATACAGTTTGAATGAACCTGTTTTCACCTGATGTCCTAGGTAAATGTTTCCAACGGATGAATATGACACATACGTTTGGACAAATCGAGCGTAACAATTTACGAAAATTCTAGCGACTATCAATGTTAAAAGGTCAGTTGCGGTGACATGATGTCACGTTTTGTCGGCTTCATGGGAAGAAAGCCCAAAGTAATGTAGGTCAAAGACGTTTGCCACTTTGTTGACACACGTCGTGCACGGATATTACGGTGACAAAACAGGAACCATATTCAGGGCGAATCAATGAATGGACCCCATGATCGTGTTTCTGGCGTGTGGATGTGCCCGACGTCATCAGAACAATAGGCTGGCTTCAGAGAAGTGTCTCTGCAGGGTTGACATTTCAGACGAACTTTCTTAATTTTCCTTCCAAAAATAATAATGAGTAATATATAGAATAACCTACTTGAAACTCGGAATTACAGATTATTTTACCTCGTGAATGAAAGCAGTAAGTATCCCTGGAATCTATTCAATCGGGACAGATAATTCTAGATAATTCGTTGTTCATTAGCTATTCCCTAATTTAGATAAAATCGATAAAATAAATATGTCAAGACTACGGTTAAAGCGGTATCAAACGGAATCTAACCTTTCATTTCTGCAAAGGAAAACGTTCCGTTCTCTACCACAGGTAGCTTTAACTTGTATGACCTGAACTACGCTTCGTAATTTAGACTAGGCATGTTAGGATTGGTATATTTAAAAAAAAACTACCTGTGGTGATAACTACATTTTATGGTTTTAAGATGTACATAAAACGTAAACAGTATAGCGAGAGGGTGTCTATCTTTAAACATGTATAAAGCTTTACCGAGGCCATACATGTTGTAACATTAATAAAAACAACAACATCTGAGGCAGAGTTGTATGACGCTCTTTGAAAGCTTGGTAGAACGACCATGTTCAATTGTACCTCAAACGTTGTGAAATGTTGACACCAAGGGCTGGAAGTGCTGGAATATTGCTCATAAAGATAACGTTGACGACTGGAAGTTGAAGTCATCCCTCTCGTCATACAGTCTTGTGAAGAGTGTTTTGTCATTCTGATTCTTTATGCATAGATCTAAATATGAACTAGATGAAGCGGTCTAACTAGGATCCTTCATTTCTAGTTTAGGTGGGTAAATCAGTGGAAGGGAATTGATATTTGATGGTTATTGAACGATATCAGATAATCGATATACCTGATGTCTAAGTTAAACTTCTTGGCGAAATTACCGTCTTTTCACTCTGCCTGTCCGAGCAGAAATTCTGATTCATATTTATGAATAAACAGATCAGGAAGAAGGTGAGCACAATTATTGCCCATGGGGATGCCAACTTCTTGTTTCAATGTCTTACCCCCAAATTATGCATAGACGTTATCAATGAGGAAGTCCAGCATTTCATATATTGTTTTCTTAGTAAACATGGCATTTGTTTTCATTTTTGAGAAATTGACCAATAAAGAAAGATATGTTACTAAACCAAAGGTCACCACGTTTAGTAACAAAAGCCCCATGGATCAAGGAACGACATTTGCGGGATAGTGGTGAACAAAGTTTTGACAGACTTGAACCTTGTTCTTTTCTGATGTTGTTAAAACTCAAGCAAATACTTCGGCTTTTTGTGCATCCACATGGTATTAATTCCGCTTGTCTCAAATACATCATGTGAATATAAAGAAAGCCCTTCCTTCATTGTATGATTAATCTTTGCGAAGGGAATTTGGTGGTACATATGCTTGACCCAGTAATGTACATCTCTTTGTACAAATTTTTTTATGGAGCTTTGGAATCCAGTGACAAAAAGGATTGGACATGTCAAAAGTTGATAGTACTGATGCATGGTTCTGGAAGATTTCTTAATATTCCCTCATGATTATTCATGAGGGAATCGAAAACGAGGCAGACCCGGCGGGTACGCGGAAGTAAGTAGTTCAAAATATGGCGCGCTCGCAATCGGACATGAACGATTTACGGCATCTTCCAAAGCTGAAAAATGCCGAAAGAAACAGTACCAGTTCTGGTAAAAGACACCTCGAGAAAGGTTTTATGTACAACAGTGAGAGCTATGTACATACCATTCGCAGTGAGTATTATTCTGAAATCAACCTGTTAAATCGCGAATGACACGGGATGGGTTAGGCAATATTCGACAGCTATTTATATTTCACCTGAAAACAGATCGACATAGCTATAAAATTGTTTCTGACTCACTAGATTCGATTAAATAACAATAAAAATTGATTTTCATATGCGACTTTGGGTTCACTTTAACACGACGAAATCAGAGTGATGCCCCTGAGCTATTTGTGTATTCAATTAATATTTTAACCGGTCATCTGCTGATCATTTCGTTCAAAGTTTACCGATGTCATCAAAATGTATCTCGTGTATCACAGAGGCAGGGGCAAACCTCGGTTACAAGTAAATTTGAACACAATCAGCTGGTAATCAGTAGCCTAATAGGCCAAAGAAAGGGAAGCTTTGGGAAGGGGGCAGATGCAGCGTAATATGCCAATCCCCATCCGGAAAAAGCTCATTCAAGCATGACAATCTCAGACACCGATACAAACTGGCCTCATGTGTGACATTATTTGATATGTTACTTATACCAAGTTCTTTGATCAAACAATTAATGTAGTGTGTGCCTTGTCAGTGGAAATAATTATAAACTGTTCATGTAGGGCAGCAGGATGAGACAGAATGGGTTTGTTACATTTCTGACTCCTCTTTTTATGCTTTTTCATTCCACAAATGGGGACTTCACATATATCTTCAGTTTTTAGTGCACATTAGTATGAACATGTCAAACCTGCCCAAAGGTACGATGTGTCGGTATTTAATTGCATAGATGTAAATAAGAACAATATTTTATCTCGTTTGAACATCGATAGTGGTTGTAATGTCGTCACCGAACAGTAAATCTTATGGTAACATTGTTACCCTAGTATAATATATAGTTAATAATTACAAAGCTGTGTGTGAATAAAACAATGTGTTATAGTCATCGTCTACTGTGGCGTCATTACATATTAAGCTAACAATGCTATTGTTTTAACTTTGCTATGGTGTTTCAATCGGTAGCATAGATTGAATAACCAACCTTCGTTGCTTTGGAAAGCTGTACTCTCCTCTCACATTTTGAATTAATGAGGATCGCCTCCGTGGTCCAGTGGTAGAGCGTCTGCCAGGAGAGGGATCGATCCCCCATCTTACCAAAAGATGTTAAAAGATGGTACTTACTGTTACCCTGCATGGCGCTCGGCATTAAGGAGCTAAAACAATGACTGGTCGGATCAGAGTCAGTATACTGTCTGAGTGGGGTATTCATGTTAAACTGAGGCATAATATCTCAGTTGGCTAGCACTATAAAATCGGCATCAGTCCGGACTAGTACAGTAATCGCCACACAAAGATTTGAGAGGATCCTCTTACAGGTCACGTCAGAACGACCTTTGTCGAACTTTGACCGACAAATGAAATTACTAATAAGAAGTTGACAGTCGCCCATCAGAAATCGAACGATTTCTATTCATGACAACGTTCTGAAAATATGTTTTGACAAAGTGTCCCGATTCAACATGTGCAAAGTGAACAAAAGAACATTCTGGAATGTCTAATAGATGGTTGAGATTGTATTTCAGTACTTCTAAAGGGCTTTGGAAAGTCTCTTCTGTTTCAAATGTTTATCCCCTTGAAGCGAGAATGGACATTGATTTAACGGCGTCAATTGTACAGACCGTAACTGTCATATGGAATACCTTGTGTTAACCCCGCGAGGTTGCTTGATTAGAAAACACATTACGACTGTCACTTCGGATCTGTTAATTATTAGCGGTGTTCTGATTGGCTGGAAGAAAGCTCGTTCTGACCCGTAATGGGATAGCCTCATATCTTTGTTTAGCAGTAGCGAGAACAAAGATCTGATTTTTATGAGATCGTAACTCTGTGTTTGAGTTAACTGCATTGTTTAAATTATTACAAGGCCTAATCCGCTAATCAAATCTTGTTTGAAGATTTATTCAAAATTGTAGTAACATGTTTTATATTAATGCGTGATAGTTGGCGTAAAACAGTGATAGTTTGAGTGCACCACAATCTGAAACCCACCCCTGCATAACAACGTGTATATATTCACACTTGGTCATGCAGGCACATTTGTGTGATTGTCACGGGTTCTCGTTCATTAAAATCATGCCTATAAAAGGTATTGAAACCATGAAGCTTGAGACAACACTGTCGGGGGTTTCAATCTCCGTGACATGGGTCAAGGTGACCTTGCTTTAAATAGCAATACTATCTCAGTAGTATCGCAAAAGCTGATCCTGATGGGAGAGATTTGGGGTGATTGGGGTTACTGGGTTTTCAAGTGTTATCACGCACTGATGAGCTAGTAAGTAATTAACGCAGTAATTATATATGCCTGCAGGTATTTTCCATATACTCTTGGACGATGTGTATGTAAAGTGTGATATTCAAGTATTGCTCCGGAAAATATGATATTAAGGACACGAATGCACAGAGCCCGTTGATGTGTCCTGGGCAACTTTTTCGGGATCGTATGTGATACTTAATGATACAATGTAAATATTATTCCCTTTAGCTTAAATCTACAAAAGAAACATTGAATATCAGAGCTTTCATGTTTGAACTTGTGTTTACTTCTCGACTCTTTTTCGGTGACAACATCAGTAAAAATCCTAAAAGCGAAGTCTAGGATGATTAAAAATCACAAGTGTGGTTATTTTAAGGTCATTTAACCATTTCAGCTTGTTGGATTTTGCAACCTCCAACTAACAAACGCAACATCAGGTGTTTTTGTGCGTGTGTGTGTGCGTGTGTGTGCGTGCGTGCGTGCGTGCGTGCGTGCGTGCGTGCGTCCATGCTTGCGTGTGCGTGTGTGTGTGTGTGTGAATTATACGTTTTGTAAATCAAACATGCCTGGCGGATAAATAAACAGTATGTTTTGTATCACATCTGCCCATATCTTCTCTCTTATATCTTTCCAATCTGGATTATCAACCTCAAATTGCATGCATATATACATACATACATACATACATATACGAATTCAAATAGCTTTCTTCTGTACCGTTCAAGAAAAGTAACGTGTCAACTTCATATTGTTCTAATGTATATTCTTCATCTGTTAGTTGTGTCCATTTTATGTCTTTTGATTCTTATCATTATCGAGGTATTTCAGCCATGAGTAAGAAACCATAGGACGGTAACGGTTCACCCTGTCTACAGACCCGTTCGTTCTGAAAAAAAACGACTAATGGATATTTTGTATGGTAAGTGGAGTTAGTTCATTTGCCTGACGCATGGGCCGGTTGGGGGAGACTGTCGAAGGTGCAACTTGTAGGTAGGTCACGATTTGGAGCAATCTTTTTCAGCTGTGTTGACATTTATGCTTCTGCGCAACAACTATCATTTTGAGTACATGTGATACAATTGTAGCAGCCTTAAAATCCGTGACCACTAAATTTTTGACGTCGAAAACTTAATACATGACGGGTTTCGTTCTGGGAATCGGAGAATGTATCCGATTATAGATGTTTGTTTGTCTCAAGACATAATTAAACGTGTCTGGTCTTTCTTTACACAAAAGACCACCTACACTTTATGGCGACATATGTGCGTCACCACTGAACGCTCTGCACCAACTGTTGGCTGATGTGTGTCATGATGCGATGCCTTCCCCCAGATGGCTAAACTGTGTTGTGTATGTCTTACTGACTATTGTGAAAGATCGTTTCTTCAAGCAACTATCAGATAAGTAAGAAAGTACTGGACTATTCTGAATGGCTGGTAGAAATAACTCCATATTGACGCAAATGCTTGCACACTAAAATGCAGTATCTAAATCATACTGTACTCGTTGAATAAAGGAACTTCATTGTCAATTACATTGGCTAAAAGAAATTAAATGAACATAAATAGTAAATATTATTTCGGTTTCGTGAACATTTTAGATAAAACCTTTTACAGCTTTCACACCAATAACTTATGTCATGTACATACCAATTCACATGTACGTGTAAACCAGTTCCTTTTTCTATATGGACATAAATATTGTTTATATTGTTGAAAATTAGTAAAATTAGTAAATTCGCAGCTAGTTTAATAGTGTAACTATTCAAAAGCTCATGTATGCCACACAGTATAAAAGAAACATCATATATATAAGAATAATTATTTAAGATTTCCTAATATATCTGAATTCCATGATGCTAAACAATATTAGGGAATAATTCTGTTGTCTGTTCTACCTACCATTCTCTAGATCTATTTCATACTTTCTTTTGAAATTGAAATTTTGGCACACTATTTCAAATAGCAGGAGACGTACTTCAATGTATAATCCTGCACGAACACCATCACAATAACTCAAGCGATACGCATTCCCTTATTCTAAACAAAGCAAAACTATCGTTCGTACATGAATATTATTCGTGTATTCAAGCAAATATTTGTTTTGTAATGTTTTCAGTGTTGCTTATGGGTGCAGTTGGCTGTCTTCTGGCGGTCATTGTGTCCTTCGTTGCATCCAGAACAGTGACCCGGGTATGTTCTTGGCGACGCAATACGGGTTGTTTTGAGATTAGAATACCATATGATAGCATTATCGTTTGTTGTGAAATAGTTTTATCACCAATACACATTTCTCTGCTGTCTTTCAGATTATTTATACTGTTTCTAGCGTGACCTTGACCCCACTGACTGCCTTGTTCTACTTAGGATCACTGTTTCTCTTTGTCAATACAAAGGTAGGTGTAGTGGTAAATAATCATCCGTTTTCATGTTACCTTCTAAAAGGGTATATTCATTTTGCGTTTCTTTTAAGTTTGCAATTTGTAATATTCCCATTTCGTTTAAAATTCTTAAATTTGTATTAACTGGTCTTATGTCACCCTTCCAAATATAACACCAGCTCACTTTACCATACTTGCCCCTAAAGTTCAAATGTCAGCCAATTCTCGCTTTAAGTAAAATATCGTTTAAAAACGAATAGACATTTAATTCTTTGTCTTTGTTAAGCTTCTCATCTGTTTCAGTCAATCTGCATTATGTAACAGATCAAAACGAAAATTCACAAGAAAGTATGAAAGACACCAGAATAAAGAAGACTAAGATGACAAGAGACTTAGTTATTACAGTAGGAATACAAGGTTTCCGAGTTTATGTGTGTATAGTCACTTTAACTATGTGATTGATTCTGGTAGCTATCTATCTGTTACACATGTCAATACAAACGAACAAATGTATACTACTGACTGACATGTTTAAGTTAAACCTGTATCCTAATCATTTATAAAAGAAAGAAAAAACGTTACTCTTGTAACGCCCGACCTTGACTGTGTCTTCTGAACAGGGAGCCACCATTGGACTTGTATCTGGCGTCATCTTTATGTCATGGCTTACGATCGGATCCATGTCTTTGCCGAGCGGGATGTCGTCCTCCTACCTCCCTCCAGACCCAACTGACCACTGTCCGGGCTATAACATGACAACAATGTCTGTCAACACCACCGACAGCCTGGTAACAACCACCCGTTTATATCCGCAATGTGCCGACACAGAGACTAGAAGCAGGTTGGTAAAGGACGCAGTACGTAAAGCACCCAGTGTGGAATGAGCTGCAACATAGTAATTTCATAAAAATAATAAAAATCAGCAAAGGCTTCACAGGTCTGACAGCTAGCATTTTCCTCTTTAACACGTACGAGAATGTATGACAACATCGAATCAAGTGGCATTGCTGCAGGGTGTGAAAGAGGATGGCATTTGAGGTTTTTAGAATTTTGTCAAGTCTAGATCGCTAAACGTCCACCCATATCTATATGTGTCACATCGCTAAAGGATGACTTAATACATCCTGACCCCGACATGTCTTAATATGTTATATCGCTACAAGTCCACCCTAGAAACTCTCCTACACAATGCATGCATCCTGGCACCCAGAGATCTGTACTTGTCATATCCTTCAGGTCCACCCTGGAGACGATGTACAGCCTCTCCTACACACTGTTCAGTACCCTGGGTATGGCGATCGTCATTGTGGTTGGAATTGTTGCTAGCTGGATAACAGGGAGATTCACAAACGTGAACTTGATTTTCATGCTATCCGAAGAAACTAAATTATAAATGCTAGGCAGTTGTCAAAATGCTTGAAGGTGGTGATTCCTCGGCGTCCATGTCACCGTGACCAATTCGCAATAGTTCTGTTGAATGTGTGTGGGGACATGGGGGTTTATGAGTAATTGCCTAGGAAATGCATGCATTTCTAATTTTGTCTACAATTTTCTGGGGCAATTCTTATTTGGTATATGTGTTTCACACATTCCCGGGATATTGTTAGTTGTTCAGTTTTATTATTATAGTTTAGAAACCCATAAATACATAAAATGTGCTAAACATTTGTAAGGGTCAATGAAAGCGAGACCCATGACCTGAATTGTCAACCGCGCTCATTCCACGGGGTACCAAGGAAAACAATAGTGAAACACATATAAGTGGAACTAGGTAACGAATAATGCATTCGAACGAGTTTTATTATTTTCTTTGAAATGTGTTTGTGTTGACATAACATTCTGAATAACTTTTTTTCTATTTCTAATATTGTTCTGAAAAATCGATGGGACTTATGAGTATTTGAAATATGGCCATATGGGTACTTGAACAGAAGGTACATACATTTCTTTATTTTTAAACAATTGTTTATATAATTTCACAATTGGTCTCGATATTTTGTTATTTGTACAGTTTTAGTTTTGTTCAAACCCTGACATGCAAAACATTTGTTTGAACGTTTATCGCAATAATGAGAGGGTGAAAGGGCTGACGTGCCGGTTCATCACAAACGGAATGCAGATTGACCTAGTTTCGGCCTGAATAAGCTACTGCGCTTTTTACTGAGGAAAGAGGCTGTATATCAATTTCAGTATGTGCGAAAGATAATCGCAGGAGTCAAGAACTTGTTCTAAGATGTAAAACAGGGAATGAATGTTCATATTGTTTTATACATGCCTATGTTGATTAATTATTTTGGGGAAATTATTTCATTGTAAATTTAATTTGATGAACAGTTAAAGAGTTTGCCGCCGTGTTGATTGATTGCATCAAAAGACCTCTTGCTGACAGTGGATTTACTTCAGAAGCCTAACGAGTTTTGACACTAGGATATAGCTTCTCCCATTCTGGAAAAAAAATCTGCTTAAGGAGTAAACATTCCAAACTCCGTGCTATAATCACATTCCTATTTACACAACAAGTCTGAATGATTGTGCAGTTGATTTGATTGTGAAACTGTGCTGTGCAAACAAAAAGCGTCACATCATGTTATCTTAACTCTCACAGGTGGAAACAAGACTCCTGTTGATCCTGCGTGTGTGATTCACCTGCAAGATATCCAGTTGCCATGTATCCCTGTAAGAGTGAAACGGTATTTTTCCAAGTCCAACAAAGAGAACCAAAGCTATTCCCTGGTGAGTAGTTGACACTAGTTGTATCTCAATCCAAATAATAGCATACGATTACATACGTATTACGATAACATGAGAGTTGTAGCATATGGAAACAATCCCGTATTTTCTTTGGTCATGAAACTACTTTAATGAATAGGCAGCTTTCTGGTGACCTCAAACACCTTTCGTAAATTTCACTGTCTTTGACATATTAACAGGATTTAGACGTATGCATACCTTTTACGAATGATCAATAGTTATAATTGGTACCCTGTGAGATTCCAGAGTAGATTGTTCCCTCTTAACCAGTGCTTGTCTGACGAGGCCTAAATGGTTGCCAGACCCAGTAAGAACGTTGATAGCGTGTCATCATACCACGTCGATGACATTTTCACACAGTTCGCCGTGATATCATCGATGGAATATTGCTGACCAATTACATTAACAAACAAACAACATCGCTATCGTCTCAATATGGAATAACGTGTAGAAGATTAGAATGATTAAAGCTGCAAATGTTATAACCTTTCACATCCATTGATAATACATTGCAATGATAGATACTACAAGCAAAACAACTAAAGTGCCAAAACCTTCTCTACATGACAACAACAGCCATGATGACTTGTTTCCGTGTTCAATTTAAGGAAATAGCCCCGTTCCTGTTCAGTCCGTTCATTGAATGTTTTGAGTTCAGGTCATAACTTGGTCTTTTCACTATAGGCACCAGAAGAGGAAGATCCAGGGCGGCACGTGATACACCTGGATGACCACAATGTTGATGCTGATGCTAATCCACTGAATAGTCAATATGAATAACCATAATTATTTTGATTTGAAGCTGTTCATGTCGATTGTAATAGTGAGCTTAAAGCATTATGTTTAGGACAATCGAGTTTTTAAATTCATTTTACCTGTTCTGTAGAATTGTCAAAACTGTTGACCTTTCGTTTCTGTACTGGCGCTGGGGCTTCACTTCTCGCTTTGCAGGCCATGCTGGTCGATTGTTCTAATCCAAGGTTCGCCGCAATTATAATCCGTGGTCAACAGAATTCATGTCTCCGACCTACATTACTCACTGGATACATTGACATACTTGTCAAGGAGGCGTTTAACTCAACTCACATTTATTCTAGTTTGGAAATAAAATACTACACCATTAGACTTGGTTTTGTCTTTTGAACAAAGTGTGAGTTTGTGAAAGTCATCAATATTCCATCTATTACATGGCGTCCTCCCCAGACCAGACAAACCAGGGAGTGAAAGCATGAGCATCTACAGATGCCATCAAGGTAAGCAGGCACAATGAGGCAATCATTATAACCACCCCATCTTAATAAGTTGGACTTGTACAACAAACACAGGGTGTCCGGGACCAATTCACCAGCAGGGTAAATATAAACTAGCCACATAAAGAAACTGTGCACAGAGAAAATATATTCTGGATTGAAATACAACACAGCAAGAACAAAATGATGCAGACGCTGTAGCAGCTGAATGATCGGACCATAAGAAAATGTCAACGGGACCTGAACAACATCTGTTACGATGACGTCAGAAGATCAAAATGGAGTAGGGGGTCATACGACAAAGTCACAAAGTCAATAACGGGTATGACCACCCTGTGCGTGAATCACAGCAGTGCATCGGCGACGCATGGAGTCCACCAAATGGGCATGGAAGGCCTGGGGAATGGCCTGCCATATTCTCCTCAAATCCTGTGCCAAGTCACGGACGTTATCTGGAGGATGTGGAAGACGACGCAGACGGCGCTCCATTTCATCCCACACATGCTCTATTGGGGAGAGATCTGGAGAAACTGCAGGCCATGGCAGTAACATGACAGTGTTATGGTGAAGGAAATCCATTGCGACCCTAGCCGTGTGAGGACGAGCGTTGTCCTGTTGAAATGTCAATCCCGGGCCATGACGTTGCAGGAAAGGAATGACCACAGGCCTCAGAATCTGATCTCTGTAGCCAACACCGGTGAGATTGCCCTGAACAACCACCAAAGGGGTTCGGTGCCGTGCTGTTATCCCACCCCAAATCATCACAGAGCCACCTCAAAAACGATTCCTCTCCACAATACAGTTGCTTGCATAACGTTCTCCCAAACGCCGCTAGACACGTTGGCGCCCGTCACTGTGGGAAATGTTGAACCTCGATTCATCTGTAAAGACAACATTTCTCCACCATATTCGAGGTTGGCGAACATGATTTCGACACCACCTTAGACGGTTGACTCGATGACGGTGTGTCAGGATGGGACGTATGGCAGGGCGTCGTGGTCGAATCCCGTACTGACGTAAACGATTCCTGCCAGTGTTGGGATGGATACGGCGCAGTCCAGGAATTGTCTGGGACGTCGTTACTGCCGTTTGGAACCTGTGTCGGAGATGTGTAACTCGAATCCATCTGTCCTGTCTTGGCGTCGTTACTCGGGGACGTCCTGAACGTGGGTGGTCGGCAACGTCATTTGTGTTCTGATAACGCCTCACCAATGCCGATATCGTGTTACGATGGCATTGGAAATGTGTTGCCACCTGTTGTTGCTTCATTCCCGCTCGGATCATTCCAATGGCTTCATGACGCTGTGCAGCTGTCAATCTTGGCATGATTTGCTTGTGATATGCTTGTGTCTGCGCCTGAGAAGTTTTGAATTTTTGAATGACCACAGATCATGCTTTCCAAAGTGTCAGCGAATTTTGAGTTGCACATGCTGTGTACAGCTGCACAGGATGCACGTGCAGTAACACATTGCACGTCCATAGGCCCCCATCAATGACGTCATATCGCATGGCACGTGCATGAGCGTTTGAATGTCTCCAATAATTGCTGTGTTCAAACCTATATTCATATATGGACGGTGTGCCCTTATATCTATATTTTCTCCCTGCACAGTTTCTTAATGTGGCTAGTATAGTTTGTTGTGGCTCAGGTCAGGTCGTAGCCCTTAGGTTGAGCACTGTCTGTTGTGCGGTTTAAGTTCTCCGTAAAGTGACTGTTCAACTTCCACAATGAATATCTCCAGGGTAGTATATCATGAATATATGTATTAAGATATTAAATAAGTGGCAATGCTATATATTTATTTAGTCAATAATAATAATAATGATAATAATAATTATGATAAGTGCATTTATAATGCGCCAGATTCCATTCACCAAGTGGATGCTCATAGCGCTACACTATTATTACCCCGTCAATGGATCAGTGAGCACTCGATTTTCATTCTCAGCTCCCTGGGGTGTATATAACCCAAGCAGCCCATGAGGAGCTAGAAGGTTTACAGCCACATTAACATCTCATCCTACCGGGTACCCACTCACTGCTGGGTGAACAGAGGCACGTTTCAAACAAAATCACTAAGGTGACACTACATGTGGTACATTTGCATCAGTTTGGGGCAGGACCGAAGCCCTAGAAACTCTCAGGAGTCAAGCTGCTGATCATGAACGTGGTCACCCATCCAACTACTCTCCGACACTGACGTTGCTTAACTTCACCTGATTTGTGACCTGTGTTTATCTAAGTTATTTAATAATTTTCTAATACAATGTAATGCTATTAGTGGCGTGAGCGTGTGATATTGTGTTTGGACATATCCGTATTAAATTATGTTTACTTTTTTCAATACGAGTTTTCATAGTAATGTTTTCCATAGTTTGCAGGAAAATGTCTACTTATTACACATGTACAGAAATATTCACCGATGTTGTATATGTAACGTATAGACATCCGATCTCCACAGATTTTCGGATTGATTCTGTGCAAATCGATATATTCACGGAACAGGCTATGTTATACAGTCTACCTAAGAATTGTACTTCGTTATTGCTCACAATACCCATCCCTGATTATGGGTTTAGGTGTAAAAAGGTTGTTTCCTTTGGAGATGGTACATCGAACAGAGTATCACTGTATTTATGGGAAAGAAAATCAATCTGTTTATCCTGAATTCGGGTAGTGCATTGCAGCCAATAAGGCTTGTTCTTAAAATCAAATATATTTTACGTTTGTCTTTCTAATAGATACCGGAAACAAACAGAATAACAACTCTACCTAGACAAACACCTTGTTTATTGGTATCCACATCATTAACCTCTCCTTGGAAATTTACAAATGTCCAACATGTAAATTGTGAAACTCAGCTTTAATGGGAAAAGGAACATGGACTTAGACATCATCAAACAAATTTAGAGACATGATTTCTTACCATCCCTGAGCGACTTATGTTTAACGTTTAACTGAGTCTTAAAGTTAAATGACGTATCCGATGACAAATTTCATTGCATCATGTGATTCCAACTTAACTGTAGATATGTGTTACGTGTATATAAAAAAACTATAAAGTAAACAAAGAAGAGAAAATCTTTACCACTTCTAATGGCTTTTGTAGTGTAGTGTTGATTCCCAAATTGAAAACTGCAACAAATTATATTGAAATCCACAGGATAAGGTTTACAATCACATATGGCGAAACACTGGGTAAAACTATGTGACAGCATCAATATGCACTGGTAGGCCCTGTTTCAAGCATCATATGCAACACCAGGCCCTGTTTCAAGCATCAGTGGACTCACGAATGTTTAGAACATGACACAGTTGAGCATCGTGAATGAGGCTCGTGCTCTGTTCTTGAATCCAGGAATTGGTGTTGGAAACAGGCAGAAAAACACTCTGTGTCCCGATAGGTATTCCGTCCACACTGGTAGATAGACGCAAGTTGTTTGTTTATTGTTTAACGCCGCACTCAGCAATATTCCAGCTATATGACGGCGGTCTGTAAATAATCGATTGTGGACCAGACAATCCAGTGATTGACATCATAAACATCGATCCACGCATTTGGGATCGATGTCATGCATCAACCAAGTCCGCGAGCCTAACCACCCGATCCCGTGCCAATACATACCTAAACAGAAGCAGAAAGTTGAATTGAGTAACGGAAAGACAGCTGAGACCATTGGATGCCACAAATATTATTTATATACCATACTCAAACATAATTCTATCACCAGAAGATCAAAAGATCAAGAGAAAAAATATATAATGCATTTAACTGTTTCGGTTTTTCGCATAGATGCATCATGTGTGAAGCCCATTTCTGGTGTCCCCCCACCGTGATATTGCTTGAATAATGCTAAAAGCATCGTAAAATCATACTTTCTCACTCAGAATATATATGGGAACCTATATATATATATATATATATATATATATATATATATATATATATATATATATAGGTTCCCAGCTATTATTGGGCGCTTCGTTCAATCGGTGATTGTCTGAGATTTGCAAAGGGATTCTTTTGAAAACACAGCATCTTGTGGTTTCCCTTGATATTTCCATTTAGTTACGATTTTCGTTATACCATGTCTCGGTTTATGTTTGCTACTGAGTGGAATACGCGAATGGTTCAACTGTGCAGGTTTTGTTTTACATTTTGAGTTGATGGAGTAAATATTAACCGAGATCGGGAGATCAACTGGGTATAGCTGAGGTGCCACTGTACACGACCAGTCCACAAAATAACATAAGACCTGCTTCAATAAACAGGAGTTTATTGGTCAGCCAAAAGGTCTATTACCGTTTACAAGCAGTTGTGGATATACATGGATACATGTGTATGAACGAAAAACATTTTTATGGAAGATAACATATGACATGATTGATAATGATTAATATCGATAAATCAATACATAGCGATCATGATAAACATACGACAGTTTGCATACGATTGAATACTAGTTGTAGTTGCACAGTGACACACTATCAAAATACAGAAACACAAGATACATTATTACATATTCCAGCATAAATCATTTAACAGGGTGACAATCTATTGACAACAATATTAGAAAGAGGCTATTTAATCTGTACACCGAGTTATGATACGTTTGATAATCTCATGAACTTAACAAACATGTAAACGTTAAGCCCAAATCGCACGGACTCGTAGATTTCACTAAATCTGAAAACATGATTTGCAGCACTTTTGGCTTATCCAGAATATCAGATGACAATTGAAAACGTATTCAAACTCAAACAGCGTCAAGTCACTGACATGTATTCAATCACATCGCATTACAATTTTTAGATATTCATTCATGTTCTTATGGAAACGAAGTCGATTTTCTAAATGATATCTTTACATTTTTACACATGTCACCATTATTCCAGAAATACCCTCAAATTTCAACACCAAAATCAATATGATTTCTCATTCATAGCAAAGCACACATTAAATACAAGCCGAACTCACACGGTTGCATTTTTTTTCAATTTCCAACTACTGTATCCATCATCAATGTTGGGTTGTTTCGAATCCGTAACAGAAATAACTGAGCCTCTGGAAAGAGATAGAATTAAACGAGGTACAAAGCATGGAATACCTAGACCTGGCGTTCCCCATCCAACGTAAACATGATAAAGATCTTTTATATATAGTGATATAGATAGAAATATATACAGATATATATATATAGGTACAGTTTGCTTGTTTGTTTGTTATTTAAGGCCGCATTCAGCAATATTCTAGCTATATGACTGCGTTTGTAAATATTTGTTTGTTTGTTGTTTAACGCCGCACACAGCAATATTCCAGCAAAATGACGGCGGTCTGTGAATAATCAGACAATACATTTATTGACATCATGAGCGTCAACCAAGTCAACCAGGTCAACATGCATCAACCAAGTCAGCGAGCCTAACCACCCGATCCCGTTAGCCGTCTGTTACAAGCCTAGTACTACTTAGACTTAACGAAATTGTTGAGCTCGTTTAACCTAAAATAATAACTAATCAATTGAATGACTCGTCTGTTAAAATGGCCAATGGACAAAAAGTATTTGAGATAAGTGGAATTAATACAATGTACATTCTCAAAAACTCTTTGCTTGACCTTTAACAATCTCAGAAAAGAACCAAGTTGCATTCTGTCAAAACATTTGATTTTTCAACTTTGCACACCACTATCCCACATGAGAAACTTAAGGAAAAGCTTCATTCCTTGATCCATGGGGCTTTTGTAACGAAACGTGGGGAACATATACAATTTGTTAAAATTCTAAAGCAGATGACATCTAAAGTTTACTGAGAAAACAATATGTGAAACGTTGGACTTCCTCATTGATAATCCCCTGAAGATTCGGGGAAGAATAGGTTTTCAGCAATCCATGCTTGCCGTAAAAGGCGACTCTGCTTGTCGTAAAAGGCGACTAACGGGATTGGGTGGTCAGGCTCGCTTACTTGGTTGATGCATGTCATCGATCCCATTTGCGTGGATCGATGCTCATGATATTAATCACTGGATTGTCTGGTCCAAACTCGATTATTTACAGACCGCCGTCATATAGCTGGAATATTGCTGAGTGCGGCGTTAAACAACAAACCAACCAACCAACCCTTCCACTGATTTACCCACCTAAACTAGACATAAAGGAGACCAGTGAAACCGCCTCATCTCTTTCATATTTAGATCTAGGTTTAAAGATTCAGAGTGACAAAATACTCTCCATAAGACTGTATGACAAGAGGGATGACTTCAACTTTCCAACCGTCAACTATTTCTTCATGTCGAGTATTATTCCAGCAGCTCTAGCCTTTGGTGTTTACATTTCACAACTTTTGAGGTACAATCGAGCATGCTCTTTCAACTAAGATTTCAATAAGAGTCATACGACTCTTGCTCAGACGTTGATCAAGGTTACAACATTCAAGGCCCCAGTAAAGCTTTCAAAAAGTTTTATGATAGACATGTGGAGGACATTTCAAAATTTAGACGCATCAGTGACAAAAAACTGCTGTCCAATGCAAGTCCCTATTCTAACTTTACCATATGTTCTCGTGTTTTTTTCAGGTGAACCGTTACGCGAACACCTGGTATCATTACTATTTGATAGTGATTCATGAACACAGGCTCATGATATAGTCGGAATCGTACAATCGACTCTGCTTTATACAGAGATTTCTATTGGATATGGAAAGGGGCGTGTCGCTTTATTTATTTCTTGATGGTCGTGTTGTTAGTCTATGTATTCCCTTATATACTGAACAGCAAAGGTTCCTGTGACATTGAATTAGATTTAATGCAAAGTTATGTTTTTTACCAAATCTGAAACAATTTCGGTTTGCAACAGATAAAAGTATCCTGTGTTCAAATGGTTTAATTTGCCATACTGACTTCAGAAAATGCGTGATTTCATAAAAAAAATCTTCTGGCGACAATCCCTGCACATATGAGGCGGCGACGTACGGTTTGTGAAGATATTCGTCGAAGGCTTGGGATGCTTCTTGCAGTCACTGATGCTGGCTGGAATCGATTTCGTAGGTGTGTTGTTCGAATGCAGTTGTCTTGTCGATTATTGATTACGCGTGGCCTGCCACTACAAGGATGGTCTGCATGGTCTGCATTCGTCTGTTGCCAACGTGGCCATAAACACCAAATGGTATTTCTGTGGACGTTAAATTTTTTGCAACATCACGTTGATTCGATCCTGCTTCAAGCATACCAATGGCCCACAGACGCTCATTTTCGGACAGGCGTGGCATTTCGTAATGTTGAATAATTGCGTAATTTTGTTGTTTTTCTGAGTGATTGTTGTCAGCACGATGGCAAACAATGCATATGAAATCCCGTTAACGCACATGATTTTATACCCATTCTTTGGTAGTGAAATGCATGGGGCTTGCATAAAAGTCAACTTTTGCATGGAATGCATGCTTTTCTGTAGCAGTTGCGTTTTTGTGACTTGATTCTTTACATGTACTACAATTCTGAAAACCAAACTTTACTGCACTAAAATATTGGTGTCACGGGAACTTTTGTTGTTGAGTATAGTATTTCAACTGTCTTGTGTTGGCCGGGGAAAGCACGGGTAACAAAAAGACCTAAAAGCCGTGACATTTCCATAATGTCTTTATTATATCCTGTTCTCAGATGACATTTGCCTTAATTTTGGACATTTTTACCTTAACCTACGAAGTTAGAGATGTAATAATGGTCACTTCGTTTAGTAAAAAAAGCCTCAAGGATCACGGAATAAAGTTTTCCCTAAGGTTTGTTGAGTGGAAAAGGGAGGTGTGCAAAGTTGAAAATTCATATGTTTTGAAATAATTGAACTTGGTCCCTTTTTATAAGTTGCACTTGAGGTGAGGGGAAAATTGGGTTTGACGTCGCGTTCAAGAGTGTTATATACGAGGGCCATTCAATATATAACCAGCCTAAGCTATTTATCAGATCTTAACGGTTGCATGTTTGTCACGTGCTGTGAGTTCAAGAGTGTTATATACGAGGGCCATTCAATATATAACCAGCCTAAGCTATTTATTAGATCTTAACGGTTGCATGTTTGTCACGTGCTGTGCACCAATGTATGTCACGTGCATAGACAAAGTTTCACTGAGGAAATTGCATTTGAAGTCACACACGTGATCTGTAAAGATGGCAGGGGTAGATTCTGCCAAATTTTCGTCAAAGGTTTAATACAGGGCTGTTATTAGGTACCTCTACGTAAAAGGGAAACCGGGAAAGGAGATACATGATGAATTGTCAGATGTTTATGGTGACAGCGCACGTTCGTATGCACAGGTCAAATTCTGGGTTGCAGAATTGAAGAGGGGTCGGGTGAACCTGGAAGATGAGACACGCCCTGGCAGGCCTGTAGAGGTGACCAATGACCAAACCAGTGAAGCCTTGAGACAACTGGTTGTCAAAGACAGGCGAATGAAGGTGTAAGAAATGGCCAAGGCCTTAGACATTTCAGAGGGAAGTGTCCATACCATTTTGCATGATCGTCTGGGTATGAGGAAGCTGTCTGCCCGATGGGTCCCGAAATGTCTGAGTGATGATCAGAAGGCTGTACGTGCGTCAATGTGTCAGGCACTTTTGACGCAATGCAGTCGGGATGCAGACAACTTTATGGAGAGAATTGTTACTGGTGATAAAACCTGGGTACTACACTATGACCCAGAAAACAAAGAACAGAGTAAGCAGTGGACTGGTGGACCCCCTCCCAAAAAGTTTAAGACTCAACCATCGGCTGGCAAAGTCATGGCAACCATCTTTTGGGATACCAAAGGGGTCTTGCTCATTGACTACTTGCCACGTGGCCAGACTATTACTGGAGAGTACTACTCCGATCTCCTGGACCGTTTGCGGACTGCTATTCTTGCCAAACGTCGTGGAAAGATCACAAAAGGTGTGCTGCTCCAACATGATAATGCCAGAGTGCACACCTGTCGACTTGCGGTTGCCGCAGTGAAGCGGAACGGGTTCAAAGTATTGCCTCATCCACCTTACTCACCAGACCTGGCACCAAGCGACTACTTTCCCTTCCCAAACTTGATGAAAGAACTGCGTGGACGTCATTTCCGGTCCGATGATGAACTCACGACAGCAGTGGAGGGGTGGTTACACGAACAACCCATGGTTTCTATCACAACAGGCTTTTAGCTCTCACACATCGCTGGACAAAGTGCATAGACCTCAATGGTGATAATGTTGAAAAGAAGAAGTGAGGAGCAGTAACAATAGGTTAGGCTGGTTATATATTGAATGGCCCTGGTAGCTACACTTATTTAGCGACATCACGCACATGTGAGTGTGTGTGTGCGTGTGTGTTCGGCTGCTTGTACTATGCCGGACAAATGCCGATTTTTATCATGAATACCCCACTCAGACACTCCGATCCGTCCTTGTTTTATCTACTTAATGCCGATGTATTGGCATACAACAGCGAAGAAGAGACATGAGATGTTTGATCGAGAAAGAGAGAGATAGAATGTAGGAGAGAACTACATCAATGGTCACCGCTTAGTGACACATGCCTCATAAATCAAGGAATGTCATTTTTACTTAAGTTTTTCGTGTTGGTTAGATGTGTACACAGTTGAAAAATTAAATGCTTTGACAGAATTGAACTTGCTTCTTTCCTGAGATTGCAAAATATTTGTTTAGAGAATCAAAATGGTATTATTGTCCCAAATAATTCCTGCAAAGTAAATAAATAGTCCTTCCTTGATTGCATTAAGTAAAACAGTAAAATACAATCATCATGTCCATACATTAAGTTTGTCTCCCATTCAGATTCCGATGCAGATACTGTCCCCAATTCTTGGAAGGAGTAAAACCAACGGCTCGGTGATTTGGCTGATAAGGGGCATTGTACCACAATGGTGAGTATCTTTGCTCATGCCTTTAGTCACTCGTTTGCCTTGTCCAGATTTCAGTATATTTAAAGACCTGACGCTCATTTTGTCACGCAACAATACAAATTGGAGACCTTCATTTTACGTATAAGGCGACCACCACGAAGTGATAGCGTTTCTCTTTTAATCATGGTTATAATTCTTTCGTACAATAACACCTGTGAAATTAATTTTGAATATTGTCCAAATTGAAATCCGTAAATAACGTAACGAAGTCTTTACGACAGGACGAACATCAAACACGTTTTTGAAAGTTAGCAGAAAACTCGATGCGAAAAACCCTGCACGTAAATTATAATTTTAACTCACTCTGAAGATGTGTTCGTCTCAACAGAAGTAGGACATGTGGGATCATTCGCTGATGTGGGTGCTGCGTTGTTCACGTCCCTGAAATTGATGTCAGTGCCTGCGTTCAATTATTGTAATTAGTTAACCGAGGTTATGACATTTCTGGCAACCAGGGTTGACCATACGTTATAAAGAATAACTTAGGGCGTAACTGAAAAAAAGGAATAACATGTAACCTTAAATGGCTGCCAGGAGAAGGAGAAACAGACACCCACGTGTATCGCTGTATCACACAACTATGAGAGGTTAACAAGTGTTTTATTGCTTGACAAACCTGTACATTTGCTGTGTAAATTTATGTGCAACAACAAGAATGTTGAAAACAACGCGTAAATAACGTTAAATTCCATTATTGAATCTAAAGGATTAATATCAGAAATCGAAAGTTAAATTTCCTTGACACATATCCGAAGAAATGTGGGGTTATACCCTGGTCAACACGGGTTCACCCGGGTCATCTGGAGTTCGGAATCGAACAGAAGCACTAAAGTCGAGTGTAGAAGCTTACTCGTACGAATAAAGTAATGGCAAATACAATCATTTGCTAACTTCAACTGTTCATCTAATTTCCATTAATGTATGTTACATAGTTAATATGTTCATGGGCTTCTTCACTGAATGTATAGTGTGGAGGACTACTTCACTTGAGGATAAGTAATATAAATAATAGTGATATTATTATGATGGTATTGCCATTATTATTCCTTCAGATTATTAAACAAAAGTTATTATGTTTTCAAACATAGAGAAAGAGGTATGGAGATTGTGGAGATTATTTTTAGCATCGGAATTGTTTACATAATTCTTAAAGATATAATGTTTTGTTGGTTTGTTGTTTAATACCGCACTCAGCAACTTAAGGATATTACAACATACATACATTTAGGTTCAGTTGTATTTTTAAATTTGTATTATTTTGCAAATGTAACAGATACCTGATAAGTGATATAATAATGTATAGTCGCTACTCTTAAAAGTAAGAATATGTTAGATTTATCAACCAGAAATATTGCACACCAAAGAATAATCATATTTCATGACACTGTTCTACGTCGAAGTCATACACTCCGACCTGTCCTTGTTTTATCTACTTAATGCTGATGTATTGACATACAACACCGAAGAAGAGACATGTGGTGTTTGATCGAGAAAGAGAGAGATAGAATGTAGGAAAGTACTATATCAATGGTCACCGTTTAGTGACACATGCCTCATAAATCAAGGAATGTCATTTTTACTTAAGTTTGCCGTGTGGGTTAGAAGTGTACAAAGTTGAAAAATTAAATGCTTTGACAGAATTGAACTTGCTTCTTTCCTGAGATTACAAAATATTTGTTTTGAGAATCAAAATGGTATTATTGTCCCAAATAATTTCTGCAAAGTAAATAAATAGTCCTTCCTTGATTGCATTAAGTAAAACAGTAAATCATTCATCATGTCCATACATTAAGTTTGTCTCCCATTCAGATTCCGATGCAGATACTGTCCCCAATTCTTGCAAGGAGTAAAAAAAATGGCTCGATGATTTGGCTGATAAGGGGCCTATATTGTACCACTATGGTGAGTATCGTTGCTCATGCCTTTAGTCACTGGTTTGCCTTGTCCAGATTTCAGTATATTTACAGACCTGACGCTCATTTTGTCACGTAAAAATACAAATTGGAGACCTTCATTTTACGTATGAGGCGACCACCACGAAGTGATAGCGTTTCTCGTTTAATCATGGTTATAATTCTTTTGCACAATAACACCTGTGAAATTAATTTTGAATATTGTCCAAATTGAAATCCGTAAATAATGTAACGAAGTCTTTACGGCAGTACGAACATCAATCACGTTTTTGAAAGTTAGCAGAAAACTCGATGCGAAAAACCCTGCACGTAAATTATAATTTTAACTCACTCTGAAGATGTGTTCGTCTCAACAGAAGTAGGACATGTGGGATCATTCGCATCGGAATTGTTAACATAATTCTTAAAGATATAATGTTTTGTTTGTTTGTTGTTTAATACCGCACTCAGCAACTTACGGATCTTACAACATACATACATTTAGGTTCAGTTGTATTTTTAAATTTGTATTATTTTGCAAATGTAACAGAGACCTGATAAGTGATATAATAATGTATAGTCGCTACTCTTAAAAGTAAGAATATGTTAGATTTATCAACCAGAAATATTGCACACCAAAGAATAATCATATTTCATGACACTGTTCTACGTCGAAGTCATACACTCTGACCTGTCCTTGTTTTATCTACTTAATGCCGATGTATTGACATACAACACCGAAGAAGAGACATGTGGTGTTTGATCGAGAAAGAGAGAGATAGAATGTAGGAAAGTACTATATCAATGGTCACCGTTTAGTGACACATGCCTCTTAAATCAAGGAATGTCATTTTTACTTAAGTTTGTCGTGTGGGTTAGAAGTGTACACAAAAAAACACAAGGCTAAATGATTGCACCACTGGATGATACAGAAAATAATCATATTGGGTGGTTGAAGTTGTACCTGTAAATAGAATGCGATTTTGATCATCAAAGACATGCCGTAGAAGCAAATTATATATTTGTGTATATACGTAGACCCAGATGAAGCAGATAAAAATTAAATGAATTTGTCATGAGTTGTGAATAAGCATCGCATTCTAACAGAAAAGGGTACTCGTTTCCATATAGCTTTGTCAATATTGCGATGTCATCGATTCTGAATCATAAGATTATTACAGGAGCATCTGAACATTGTGACAGCTTGTCTGAAGATGATCATGATTGTATCGATTTGATGAAGGTAGTATTCAACATTTGAGAACTGACTTCAAAGTAGATTACACGAATAATTTAGAGTTGGAACAAATAGAGGAATGTCATCTTCAATGTCGGAATAATTCACACATTGCTAAAATGCAGAGGGAAACATATCTTCGTTGCCACCATCCTGATAAATCCTAACACATCCGAAACCATAGGTAGCCCATGATGTTCCTTCAAACCGTATGGCGTAAGACATGCTTTCATGCTTACTTCGGTAGTCTGATATTGTCCCCGATTATTTTGACCAGTAATTGATACATTTATGAAGCTCGTGTATATGTCATTTCACATAAAATGTCTCTCTTGAAATAATTGTTTGAACCTTTTCTGTTATTGCTGTGTTATTACAACTCCAGTTTTCTGCACCATCTGTAATAACAGGTAATACCATATTACTGTCGAATACTTTTGTTCCAATTTAATCTCCATGCTACAATATCTACATCCACACCTCACGTCTTTTGTAAAGGTACAGAAACTTCTACACAGCTGCCGAGAACTTCGTGTTGTCGTTAAGGGAGGTCACACTATCTCTAGTACACTGCAACACTCCAGAGAAGGCCTTGTCGGCCGCATTCTATTCATATTTGCCATATCTTAGACTTACCCGTTTCTTCTTGTAAGCAATTGTAGTTCAACCCCTCCCAATGCCTCTTTTTTCTTCCTGCTGAAGTCATAAATAAAATATAAATTGCCGCGTATCATCAAGACCTCTTGAAGTGTTGAACAAAGTTGTAATGAGATATGTAAGAATGCATGTACATGTATAGTCACTATATAGCTGAGATAATGCCATGTGACCTAAAATATTATTTCACTCACTAATGACAGATCAAATACATGTCTGCAATCCTGTGTTACTCCTGTAAAAGTTATCTTGATAAGGACTTCTCCTTCTCCACCGAAGATGTCAAAATTATGTTTTATGCAAGTCACCGAAACAGACTACAAAAAGCTACAATCAAAATGCGAAATACACCGAGGTAACCCAATTGGAGATATTGTTGTTTTCCAGTACAATATCGAATCACAGTTATGAAGATAATCGCACTGACGCTCATATGGTTCACTTTCATGCACTCAAAACGTTTTGTGTAAGTGTCTCGTTGCACCTAACACCATGTCTAGAACTGAGGTAGATGGTGCCCATGGAACTATTCAACTTACATGATCGTGTAGCGTGAGCCCAGCAGCAGAAACAATAGCACAGCAATGACAATGCCCAACAGTAGAAACAATAGCACAGCAATGGCAATAAACACATACAACAGTATATCTGGAAAAAAAATTCATTTCATTTAATATTATTACATTATTGAATAAAATATGACTATATCATTCAAAATGATATCATGTACACATCATCATTGTATCACATTCGTAAATGTAGAACTACTGCACGCGTTGAGAATACATGACCCCACGCAGATTGAACACTTGATTGTGCATGGTAGTAATCCACACGTCTCAGACAAATAGATCCATTTTGGACAAAAATATTTCGCTAATCACTGTCAATGGGGAAGTGTGCACCTTACCATTCAAATATGGCTGCAGTTTATCCATTTTACCGGTTTTAATCCCCTCGTAGATACAATGTGTGAAGCCCATTTCGGGCGTCCCCAGATGGGATATTGCTGGAACATTGCTAAAGCGGCGTAAAACCATACTCACTCACTCCATTGTACCGAGCCGACAAAAAACATCATGTTGTGGTCATGTGGAATAAGTTGTACAAATAATATTTACATAAAATACATTGTGTTTGTGATTGTTGTATTGGCATAAACATGTATCTCTTGTGCATACTGTCCATATATAAGACTGATAAACCTTTTTTATGAATACCACTGCTCAGATGATAAAAAGCACCCTTGTCATCTTGATGTGTTAAAACAAACATAGGATAAGTTCAAATATGCAGAGGATATTAGCCTGGATCATTTCTATCCATGATATCGGGCTATGCCTCAATGACGAGCAAAGGTTGCTATGGAGTGAGTGAGTGAGTGAGTGAGTGAGTGAGTGAGTCGGTCGGTGGGTGGGTAGGTGGATGAGTGAGTGAGTGAGTGAGTGAGTGGGATGAGTGTAGAAACAGTCAGTGAGTGAGGTGGGTTTAACGCTGGTTTGAACAGTATTCCAGTTATATCACGGCGTGTCAGTTTAATGTCGGAGGAAAGCCAGAAGTGATGCAGGTGTCAGACGTTTCCCACTTCGGCGAAACCAACGAGCACGGGTATGGTGCTGACAAACCTAGAAGCCTAATCGAGGCGAACCGTGATTCGAACCCAAAATCATAGGTTTCTTTGCGTGCCTAAGGGACGCAACTCTGCATAGCCAATCGCGGCGCCTTCGACCCCACCCCCATCCGAAGTTTAAAGAACTTTTAGATATATTCTGAAATCCCACCTGCTCAAAGCCTGTAAATAGTACGTGCAAATACAGATGTCCAAGTTTTTGTAAAACTTTGAACTGACCTCTTTATGGAGTCTTAAACTATACTAAATTCCTTTAATATTTGTTTTTAGCTTTACCCAGAACAATTCCAAACCGCTTCTGAGCAGCAGTGACCAATTGAAAGTGAGAGCTTTATAAAGTAGAATCATGATTAGTTAATATTAGTGGGAAAATGACTTGCCACGTTTCAATTGATAACCGTTTGCATATCGCACTAACTATAAACTAATACATTTAATCTGTGTATTGTGTATATCATATTTGAAATCATGCAATAATAAGACTTATAGTTGTCAATTGTAAGTTAATGTTATGTTCATATGTGCGAAGCGTGACTATAATCAAGTAATTTACATGCTCTCTGATAGGTCTCAACGCGATCTATCCTCAAATTGTTGCCTACATTATATGTTAAAGAGTTATATACCAAACTGCTACAATGGAGATGTTTGTGTTCTCAAATCCATATAAGATATCAGCATATTTTATTCACGTCGCAATGATAGCTTCAGATTGAATGTCGTCCAAATGCGTTCAATACAATTTGATTTGTGCTACTGATTGATTTCATCTGAATAGATTCCGGGAGTAAAACGTCTATCATCGTGTGGGTTATTTACGAGAACATTACACACAATACTATTATTTTTTATCACTTCATTGCAGATACCTAGCGAAGGCATTGTGCATGTTCATATGATGTAAGAGATGGGTACATACACATGTGTGACGCGTCCGTATATTCAAATATGTTTGGCAATATAAGCGTTGAGTAACTTACTATTTCCAGACTCGCCGCGTTTGATGTCTGAACATGAAGTTGTGTTGCATCCATCTTTACATGTCTGATCCACACTACCGTCTGTAAAGCCGCACCGAGGACAATCCAACCCACAGAACTCCCCATAGTAGCCATCACCACAGGCAGTGCAGTTTCCAGTAGATTGGGTACATGTCAGGCACCGGGGGTAGCACTTGTTCCTGCAGTTCTGTCCATACCACCCGTCAAGACAAGTCGTTTTAGAACATGTCTGGTCTGTGTCACACCGGAATCCCTGACACAACTCTTCACATGTGAGAGAACAGTTAGTACCATGAAAGGTATCTTTACAGTTAATGCAGCTGCCGTTGAGACGTTCACACACTTGACAATTCACTGGACAGGGGATTCTGCACGAGGTGCCTCTGTATCCATCCACACATCCGTGGGTACAAACAGTTCGACCAAATTTGTCAATGTTACATTGCTTGTTATTGCAAGTCATTGGACACGTATGCTGGCAACTGCTACCATAGAAACCTGCTGGGCATTGTCGATTCTGTGTACCAACAACCACTGACCCTGGAAACAAAAATGTTATCGTGAAACAATTTAACAACTGAAACATACACGTCAACGCTACATGTAGATTATATCAGTACACGTCACCACAGAACGTGCGTTCATAAACAGTTAAGCTCTGATGCATGATTTCACAGGTATATACTATTTAAAAAAAAGTTAAGCAATGACATATGTGCATGTAACAAAACATAACAATACACCAAATTTAAACTAATTCGTATTGACATGTGGAATGTGGTATCGATTTTAGCTGAGTATTTATATTTAAGAATTTTGTTGATTGTTTGGCGGATCTCAAGCTTCTTTTAAAGCATCTTTTTGTAACCGTGCATAGATGATAATTTTTATTATACATGTACAATGAACAAGGCATATCTTCATAAATAAAGTCAAAGTATTTGTTGTAATGCATTATTCAAAGAACTTTTAACATACTCTACATGAACAATTATTTTCAATTTACGATCATTCTGTGGTAAGATGCGTAAAAGGAACGAAGACCAATTGTAGCTAACATGTATTTTGATTTTTTGACTTTGTAAACATATGTCGTTTCAAAAATTAAAAATAACAATGTCATAAATAGCTTCAAGACAATTTTCTTTATTGTTTACTGTCAGTCTCTGCCTAGGTTCTTAACAAGTTTGTTTACTGCAGATCAACGTGTGACTTCATCAATTTGTAATGATTTTCACCATACACAACCCTGATTTTAAGTTTCCTAGACATGTTTTTAACATCTCCGTTTCAGGTACAGTGCCGGACAGGGCTATACATATTCATGGACAGTAACGAATACTTGACCGTGTATCTGCAGTTCCAGAGCGTCATTAACATAAGTTTTTACTTGTTTACCAATCCATCTTCACACATTTTGTGACATAAATATGTTTAAACCATATGCAGTAGATAGGTAGATAGGCCTTTTCGTCGTGTCACATATGAACCCACAATTAATTACTTTGCACATATCGTCACCGATACTTACATAAAACGACGTAAAGAATTAATCGACATCCATCCATACTTGCAGAAATGCTGAAAATAAACACTACCATCAGATACAAGTAATGGCAAAGAATATATACATTTTAATTTTTTTTTAAAAAGTAACTTGATGGACGGATAGTTTTCCAGGTCGCACTGCAACATGAAAATGTGGTCTGCATGGTCCTTTTTAACTGGTAAAGTGTCACAATTGTTGAAAGAGTTAATAGAGAGGAACTTTGACATATTTTTTTATTTATTTCATTAGAACCATAAACGCAGTTTTCACATGCAGCTCATGGGATTTGTCACGTGTTAGCAAAACCGCTTAAAAAATCATGAGAAATCTCAGCTAAAGGTTAACTATGTATATGCATGCGTTTATGAATCACTATCAAATTCAGTTGAATTTTGACTCTGACTGAAGACTCAATAATAATGCGAGAATTAAAGCTATTGATAGACTTGAAGCTGATGTCTCACAAGTGTCAGTGTCAAGGTATTTATGCGTTGCCCGGAGCACACTTTTCCATAGTTTGGGCATAATATTGGTCATATGGCACAATTAGAGATCGTCCAATATGAGAGAAAACTTACAGCAGTCCAGGATCGCGACACCCAGGACACCGTTCCATAAAACGAGCGTAGCGCAACGACAGTCTTAAGTCTATTTAAAAGCGTATGGAGTTACGATCACTTAAAGACAAGGGTAGTTTTGTGGCACGGAACCCTGGCCACTTTGGCAGGTCGCTCACTGCAACCTACAGTTCAAAACATATTCATGGTTTACGAGCTGCCGGGATACGAGAATGGGAGACCGACGTTGACTTTGTTTTACCTCAAAGCGGCTGCAGTGGTCTCGGCCACATTATCAGTAGCTTCAAGAACGTTGGCGTAACATAATTGGTTTAGTGATAATCACGTTTACTTCTTCAAACGTGAAATGTGCGGATCCGCGTGTATATTGGCGACGTAATGAGTGTGATGTCGGATGTTGCGTTCAATGAGTCGACAGATTCGGTGGAGGAAGTATCATGATGTGGGAAGCTCTCTCTTATGGGCGCAGAACAGCTCTTGCTTATTTCCAGGGCAACGTAACAGATTGGGACATTACTTTGTCCCGACTCTGCAAACACCCGGGGTCGAGGGTACTTGTTGTTACCATGATCGGCATAGAGGGAATAAAACAAGGATTGGTCGATTTGGAGTAAGTATACTGAGTGGAGTATCCATGTTAAACTGCGGCATGGTATCTCAGTGGTCTTGCACTATGAAACCAGCATTAGTCCCGACTAGTATAAACAGCCACACACGGTCCATGCACGTCGCTATATACATTTATAGTAAACGACGTTTCTCCGGATCAAATTTCAAGCAGAATACACACACATTCACGCACGCACCCTCGTCGCTATATAAGTGCTATAATCTTAAAGGCGATGTATGCCCCATTTAATCTCACCACACCTGAGTGCTCCGAACATTAACGTCCTAACATGGCCGTCAATGTCACGGGATTTCAACCATCTGGACAGACGTTTACTTGGCCTGGTGGATAGAGCGTCTCCCCGGTGTGCGGTGGTTCCTTGGCGCTCGGCACTAATGCGAAAATCAAGATCTGGTTGGCTCGGAGTATACTTTTTCTGAATGGGATATCCACGTGATACACACACACACACACACGCACGCACGCACGCACCCCCCCCCCCCCCCCCCCCCCCCGACACACACACACACACACGCATAAACCAACACACTAACACTAACACACACACACACACACACACACTGTGAAAATCTGTTCCAAACTCGTTCCAACTAAGGTGAGTAGAGCTTCATTTCTTGTTTGCTATGTGGTAACATTCGACTTAGCAGATGGTTCATCCGCTATCATTTCCGTTACGTTACATCATCTGTATCGCTTTCAGTATACATTTGACCGAGGGGCGCTTCTCCCATTTTACAAGACGAACGAAGTTCAAGGTCGTAAGTAGACGCGGCGATGAATGTCGTCATGCTCTTGGGGCATAATACTGTTAGTGAATCTCTGAACCATTATAATTCAACCATGCATACTATATTTCGTATTTCTTCGCGAGGTATGCAATAATTCACAGGCGACACCCAAAAATTGAAATATGTTAACAATTACAGTTTGATATGCACATGCGTAATATGTCTATGTATCGCGGGTGTTTTGAGAAATAGTGAAGTGTCTATAGTGAGTAGGGTAGACGTTGCAGCGTACAGTTGCATAGTACTTCCAACACCCCCTTTCGAATAACCAGCTGGTGCTCAAAATAGTCCCGTCCGCGTGTTTAGTATAGCTGTAAATTAAACGGGTGATCATTCCAGGGGGGGAGTAGTAAAACTAGACAATGACAATGGTGTATCTACATCCAAAACAAACCAGGAAACTTGCATATTTGTGTATACGGAGAGGTTTAGGTATGATTACAACCTATATGTAATTAGATGTTTATAATGTGTGTAAGTATTGAGTGAACCATGCATTCATTTATGAATAATGACACTCACAACAATATTTGTGCTGAAAGTATCAATCGCTGTGTCCAATATCCAGTCTGTTCATCTTAACCTATAAGAAATAAAAATAGACGTTCAGTGTCTTGAGTAAATGTCGAGAAACATTTACATTTCTGGAACTTAAAAAAGTTTCCTTTGTGACTGACGTCTGTTCAAATATTTAGATTTACGAACTCTGGCTCAAGTCGGGAGCTTGAATTTGGAATTGTGCAACACAATTTATTATTTGTAACTAACCTTTCTGTATATATCTTTCATCAAGTGAATTAATATCTGTCAATCAAATCAAAACAGAAAAGCTGTATGGGTATTAAGGATCGTACCGCCGTCAATATCTGGCAAAATCTATCAATTGAAAGATACATGTACAGGATAAAACACTGAGTTGTGATGTTACATACCCATTCCTCTACAAGGCCCTCATCAGCCCTCTTGTTTCTCCGCATTTTGTGCCTGCGCCTGTGACTATTATTTAATTGATATTCATATAACATATGGCATTCCAGCTAAATGTATATCGTGACGAAGTATTAAACAATAAAACACTGCTTACTATAAAGAATTGTTAGAGCATTAACTGGCACAGACCAGATTACATTGCACCAAGACTTGATCATATTGTTTTAATTGGACCATTAGCACCCTGTACATATACTGACAAATGTATGCCAGTGACAAACAGTTTTCGCTAACGTTTGCAAAGTTTAAAATTATTGCCTATATCCAGGTTTAAATGCGTTTACTTACCATATGGCACATACAAACAATCCAGCACATAAAATCACAGTTACTATGATGGTTAAGGAAACACTGTAACCGAGGCAGCTATTGAAACCTGAAACTCAGAACAAACGGAACCATTAATCCACAGGATAACCTCGGTCGACATTGATAAATACACGCAACTGTATTATGTTGCTGGGAAGGTTCGAACGTTTAGCTACTTGGAAATCTCCTTGCAACTCTTACCGCAGTGAGTTTGCGTGATATCTGTATCAGACTTGTTTGTTGGTGGTGATGTCACTATACACGGTGTTCCATTCTTGCACCCAATGGAACACTCGCCATCTACGTGGTTGCAGGTATTGTTGATACAGTTTGAGTTGCACTCTCTGCGACAGTTGGTACCATGATATCCTACGTTACAACCTTCCAGACACTCTCCTGTATTGACCTGGCAGTGGACTATGTCGTGTAAAGGGCGACAGTTAGATGAACAGTTCTTGACACATGCAGGTCCCCACTTGTTACTACCACAGTGTCCACCTCCAACTTTACTGGTCACTGGTACTGTGAAGGATAAACGGATGTCAGCAGATTACAGCAACAATAAGAGAGTCGGGTGATCCTAATTCGTTTACGTTTTAAAACTCAATTTTTAGAAGATCACATCGGCGTGCAATGTAAAGTATTGCATTTAAGCGACCCAAATCCAATATACTTGATATTAAGTTGGTAACCTAGGTTAGTTGGTATATTTACACTTTCGAAATAAGGATGGCAAATGCGATGATGTTTTGTAGGTTCTGTTCAAACCTTACCGAACTGGAAGATGGAATAGAGCCCAACCGTCCAAGTTAAGATGTTCATTCCACATCGATACTGAATTCATCTCCAAATACTCATCTGAAACATGTGAAATGTCATTACAACGAAACATGCGACATCGTACCATACATTTCAACGACGATGTTAAAGATAAGTTTGTTTGTTGTTTAACGCCACACTCAGCAATATTCCAGCCATATGACGGCGGTCTGTAATTAATCGAGCGTGGACCAAACAATCCAGTGATTGACAACATGCGCATCCATCCACGCAATTGGGATCGATGACAGGCATCAACCAAGTCAGCGAGCCTGACCACTCGATCCCGTTAGTCGCCTCTTACGACAAGCAAAGTCGACTTTTACGGCAAGCATGGGTTGCTGAAGACTTATTCTACCCCGGATCTTCACGGAAATCTACCGCACCACGCAATTGGGATCGATGACTTGCATCAACCAAGTCAGCGAGCCTGACCACCCGATCTCGTTAGTCCCCTCGCGAAAAGCATAGTCGACTTTTACGGCAAGCATGGGTTGCTGAAGACCTATTTTCCCGGATCTTCACGGGTCTAATCATGTTAGGATTAGAAGCAAAAACATATATATATATATATATATATATATATATATAACATTGATTTTAATCCTATCATTTGAAGTCAAAGGGTGATGAAATAGAGCATATATATGTTTGGAATTCCTTATCCAAATATAAATAATAATAAAATGACTTAAATATTTTAGCATTTTGTAAATTGCCACGTGTAACAGAGTGTACGTTTTCAGTACAGCTGAGGTGGGAGCTTCCGTTTAACAATAATAGGTCTAGTTTGCTTTTTCTTAATTGCACTGTTAACTGCACTGCTAAAATGGACATTCTTTTATACAGTAATAAAAGTCTCCGCACGGGCTGAGGTGAAATCGGGTTTAACGGCGCATTCAAGATTATTGCACTTACATAGTGACGTGTGTGTGTGCGTGTGCGTGTGCGTGTGTGTGCATGTGCATGTGCGCGTGCGTGCGTGCGTGTGTGTGTGTGTGTTTGGCTGCTTGTACTAGTTCGGACTAATGCCGATTTCATACTCCTAGCACACTGAGATACCATGCTGCAGGTTAACATGAATACCCCACTCAAACACAGTATACGGACTCCGAGCCGACCAGTCCTTGTTTAAGCCCCTTTGCTCCGTGCGCCAGGCGGGGTAACAACAAGTAATATTTTTAACGTCTTTTGGTATGACGCGACCGGGGATTTAACCTCAAACCTTCCAGCGGTCGTCCCCGCACGGAGAATTGCAGAGACAGTTAGAAAGGTTGATAAGATTGACGAGAGTGATGAACAGTGTGGATATCCATTTAATCGAAAGACAGGGGATAAAAGAAAAACCATGACTGCTATTAATTACGGTAGCAGCGTTAATATTTCGCAACTTATCAAACATAAACTAGTGTCCAAAAGAAACGATACCACCTGTTTGCAACGACATAAAAGAAAAACTAAACAATGCAGAAGTTTAGGATTGGTGTTATGCTTTTGAGAAATCCTTTCACAACATCTGTACAAAAATTTCATTTCAATCTGTACAACCAATATGACAAGCCTTTAAAGATGGGTGGGGTCGAAAGATGAACATTTCGTTAGAGCACTGATCACAGAAACAACGGGAAATGTCACACCACACGTCTCAAAGTCAAGTCAGTAGCGGGTATGTCCACCGTGAGCATCAATACATGCCAGAACACGCCTACGGACTGATGACGTCAAACGTCTGATGACGTTGGGAGTGATGCGTTGCCATTCCTCGAGGAGACAACGTTCCAAGTCCTGGACGTTGACTGGAGGCACACGGCGACGTCGGATTTGCCGATCCAGGTGGTCCCATAAGTGCTCGATGGGATTCATGTCCGGTGAACATGCGGGCCATGGCAAAACCTGTACGTTGGCGTTGGCAAGGAAGTTCTGTGTCAATCTTGCTATGTGTGGCCTTGCATTGTCATGTTGGAAAAGGAGTCCACGAGGCTGTTGCTGAATAAAGGGCACCACAACAGGCCGTAGGATGTCATCAAGATAACGCTGTGCATTCAGGTTTCCACGAATTACGACAAGCATCGTTTTGACGTCACCACATATGCCACCCCAAACCATTAACCCTCCACCTCCAAAGGGCCGGACCTGTTGGATACAGTTAGGCGCCAAACGTTCACCAAATCGTCGGTATACAAGCTGCCGTCCATCGTTTCTGAAGATGAGGAATCTGCTCTCATCAGATAACATAACACGTGCCCAGTCCCGCCGTTGCCAACGTCGAATTCGCCTGGCCCGGATCAGTCTGTTGTTCCGGTGTCGAGGCGTCATGAGCGGTCCGCGGTAGGGATGACGTGGCCGGATACCATACTGCCGTAGTCTCCTGTAGACGGTCTGTCGACTGATCCTGTGTCCCAGTGCTGTAGCCGCCGTGGACGTCGCTGTTACGGTGCGGTTCCTCAGGTGTAATACCCGGATGTAACGATCTTCACGGGGCGTGGTTACTCGTGGTCTTCCACTCCTGGGCCTGTCTGACGTCTGACCTGTCTGACGTAACCGCTGCATCAACCTGGTGATAGTGATGCGTGCGCAGCCCAACCTTCTGGCGACGTCGACGTGTGACGCTCCTTGTTGGACCATTCCAACGGCTCTGTCTCTCTCGATGGCTGTCAAACGTGGCATATCTTGTGTTCTTTTTGTTGCTGTGATATCAACGTGTCTGATCAGCCGTTTTATACAGTTTTTCTGCACGGGCAGAACATGCTAGAGAGGGAATGTCACTTTCACGAAATTTACGTTTTTTCCCGGAAGTGATCACGTGTTCCCGGTATTTTTTATCTACTATGCTGTGTTTGGGATGTGCAATACGAATTGGCATGTTTTCATACTTGACAATTCACTTAGTAAAAAACAATTTTGAAAATAAGTTGGTATCGTTTCTTTTGGACACTAGTTTACAAAAAGCTACATAAAATTATATGTTAATGATATTTTACGAGATGTGACGTCACTGGCAGCTTGTTTGTCAACAATCACTCTCCCGGTACCACCCCAGTGACAAAATGCTCAGAATCAAGCTACTAAACGTAAGTTTTGACAAAATTTGAGAAATTATCAGTGTGAAGCAGAGAGACACTCAGACAATACTTCCACAGCAGTTTCATGCATAATAGTGAAAAACATGTGGGAGTAATTGTGATATTTTGAAATAAGGTGACAACATAGATATTAAAAACAGTATTCTTGAAGCTCTCAATTGAACACGATAATTTATGTTTTTAGTATTACTGTTTCTGATTATAATGAAGGTCTTTCTTATATAAACGTTATCATATATGCCAATCCACTAACACAGTGTTAATCCATCACTAAGATGATCTAACTTAATAGTACGTGGGCCAAAGTGTTCTACAATATATATTCAAGTTTCGTGCAGTTTCGAAACAATATGTTTCTGCAAGTTTATTTGTTGTTAACGCAAGACTCAGCAATATTCCAGCTATATGACGGCAGTTCTGTACATATTGATGTGACTCAAAGCAGAGAGGTGAGCATCAGTGTCGTGAAAGCCACCTTGGCTCTTGTGACTCATGTTGTTAATTGTGCGACAATGTCAAATATTTCCATCAAATAATGAACAGTGAAATATTCAACCCTGTCCATGACGCGATGTATTGTGTTATGTTATAGCCTAGGTAGAGTCATCATCGACACTTGATCGAATATATGTACACTGCTTCCACTTACTCTTGTCATATGTTGATTCTCATGATAAATATCCTGATTCGGTTACAGATCAAAGCTATAAATTGCCTGCTTCAAAGGTTATTTTTTCAAAGTATACACAAATTAATTTCGTTGATGGAATGTATTCCATGTTGCACTGCCACATAAAAAAATATGTCTACATGTTCTTTTGTTTTGACAAAGTGGACTAAAACGGTTTTATTGTCTTTAATAGGGTTAATATCGATTAACCTTGGCATTTGAAGGATTCCTTTCATTGGGAAACAAAGCAGACACGGATGTTTGATTTTTGAAATGTATCGTACCGAGAATCAATAATACGAGAAATAAAGCTATTGTTGAACTTAAAGTTGCAAAGGACACAAATTCCAAACTATAGCCACGATTAGCGTCACATTTGACGGTCCTATGCCCGGCCCAAAATAAATTAGACCCATGCTTTGATGACCTTCAATACACTAAGCTCATTGTGTCTGTTAGATAAGATATTTCTTTGTAAGCTAAGTCATTATCAGCGCTAAGGACCATGTATGACAACTAAAGGCAAAAAGGATTATGTATCTTGTTTTCGGACCCATTCGTTAACCCCAAAGCGATTTAAATATTTACCTTCACTATTTTGTTCATCAGTCTCCATTCGTTATTCCATACTCTGACCAAAAACATCTGACCTAAGTTAACAATGATATCAACCTTATTTTACAGCAATTCTTCACATCAATTTATTACATAACGAAGCGCCTAAATTGTATTGTTTTGGTTTATACGAATCCGTCTCTCTAAAGTGTACGGATTACGTTCAAATTCACCCATATCTTCTGAATAATAAGTACATCAATGGCGTGCATATGCGATTTGCTATTGTAATGCATATTGATTAAATGATAAGCACTTTACACACAAACTAGACTAAATACATCGACATATTATCTGATTTTCATCAATGACATATCCAACAGTCCGAGCAAGGTAGTTCCACACAGCCTGTCAACTTGTTAGCCTTTCTTGCTGTGTTTATTATACATTATTAACTGAATGGGCTTTCGTCAGTAAAACGTTAATGTCATTGGTAATACAAAATATGTAACAGTGTTTCTCGGGCTATGTGTACAACCTGTAAACTGTTCACGAACTTCATAATGTGATATCAGTAGATAAGTCTTTTAATAAATGCGATATTTCAATCGTAATTACTTGAAGACTTGGATACAACAAAGGGATAGATTGTCTGTACAAAGATGTTATACAACAAATGCCCCGTATAAATAATAAACAGGCATAGGGACCAAATGTTAATTTAAAATCACAGACTCTGACATATTTTCTGACATATATTTTCGGACCAACTAATACGTAATTAAACTTACAAATGTATTTACAGTGTTCAAACTGAGTAGGGGTCTTTCGCTATTAATATCAATTACGTACATAATGCATGCGAATGACAAATAAGCACATAGAGATTCAATGTATACACGTACAACATGAGTTACGTGCCTGTGAGAATGTAGTAAGTTTATTTGCAGTGGTTGTTAGTGACTCTAAATGACTGAAACGCACGTACAATATTGGATAGTGGCTGGATTGTGAAAAGAAATGAGATTGAGATTTCCCACAGTTGGTTTTTGACAAACACGGGGCATACTTGAGATTGATCAGTTACTAGAAAGATGGTTGTACCTATATAAGAGCAACACCAGCGAAATTCGAGGCATTTAACTATCTTCTTGCCAATTTCGGACAAGATGTCAAACTGAAAACACCGAATTCCTGCCAGCTTCAAAAACAACCCCGGTGTCCAGAATTCCTGACATCCGTGAGTGCTCTGAAAAGTGTAAGGGCCTGTTACGTATGTCTGCTGCCACTTATATTGCCAGTGACATTGTTATTGTGAACCTAAATCTGAATAAGGAAGATAATTCTTGGATGTCACCTTCTGTTAATTTGTCATCAGATAGATATAGGAACTTTTTATTTATTTTGGTGAATGGATTATGTTCGAAAATGTGTAAATATTTCGTGTAGTATTTTTAGTCATGATTATGTGGTGAGATTGAACGCCGATTCTTACCATGTGTAAAATATATAACAGTGTTTCTCGTGCTTTGTGTACAACCTGTAACATACCAACCATATTTTGTGATCTTAATACATAAAGCTTCAAAATGAGATATTTCAGTCGTAATTCCATGGTGACTTAGATACAACGTAGGGACAGCTTGTCTGTACGAAGATGTTATACAACAAATGCCCCGTACAAATAGTTAATAGGCATAGTGACCAAATGTAAATTTAAAATAACAGACTCTGACATATTTTCTGACATATATTTTGGGACCAAATAATACGTAAGTAAACTTACAAATGTATTGACAGTGTTCAAACTGATTGGGGGTCTTTCGCTATTAATATCAATTACGTACATAATGCATGCGAATGACCAACAAATAAGCATTAACTGATTCAATGTATACGCGTACACCATGAGGTACGTGGCAGTGAGAATGTTGTAAGTTTATTTGTAATGGTTATCAGAGACAGCAAATGATTGAAACATACGTAAAAAATCGAGTAGTGGCCGGATTGTGAAAGGAAGTGTGATTTAGATTTGCCTAAGTTGGTGAAGTACTAATGGTAATAAAAAAAAAATGTTTTGCTGGATTTAATAATCGACACAAAGCATTACGTAGATGTAAATACGAAATAACAAAACAACTGGAAAAGTACTAGTCTGGATTTGCTAGTTTTATCTCAGTGCTCAATACAAAATGTTACTTTTACGTTCTGAAATTTTGATGATGATTCACTATCCCACAATGCCACTCACAAATCACTAACAAATCACATGCACGTGGGTTTCAAGCACCTGTTTTCACCTGTCGTCAAGGTGTCATATGTCATGGACATTCACCTTGATCTAATAACACCTGGTTATGCTCAGTTTCACAATAGTCTGTTTTGTTTATTTTTATACATACTTTTACGTGTAAAAAGGCATAAAACATTTGATACGCTGTGTTTGTGCCAAGGTCCAATTAGTACTAATTGAGTTGTTTGAATATATATATATATATATATATATATATATATATATATATATATATATATATTAACTTCATTTATTTAAAATCTGAGATCGAAAAAACAGGGTTTTTTTTCATTTCCGCGAGTACTTTTTTTAATGACAAACACGGGACAGACTTTACCATTTCAGGAGTTTCGAGGTGGATCAGTATAGAACGATGAGGCCTTTTATGGTTTACTTGGCAGGTGCGGACAGGGTGCCACTCCGAAAACACCTAATTCCTGTCAGCTTCACAAACTACCCCAGTGTCAAGAAAGGCGCTCGGGCCTCTTTCGAGACTTTTGAAAGTGACACCTTTTTTACATCCGTGAGTGCTCTGAAACGCGTTGTAGGGCTTGTCGTGTATTTCTGTTGCCACTTATTTGACCAGTTGTATTGCCTTTGTTATTGTAAACCCAAAACTGAATGTTTTAGTATACATTGTTGAGATTGCGAAATTTTACATCATGTTCTATTGTCGCATTCTCAACTTTTGCCAAAGAGTACTATGTTAAAGAAAACAAGTTTATCAGCCCCATTTCATTTCTTTTCACTTCACCATACTTCATGAGTGTAAGTTTCGTATGAACATATTGTCAGATTGATGCCTGATGTTTACAACATGAAATCACAACATGAAAAATATTCGCAATGATTCAACTGCCACTGTCAGTTTAATACTGCTATGTAGTTTAGCAATTACGTCTAGGTTCAATGGGACATAAAGACCCAGCGTTATTTATTGAAAAGTTTCCTTCACTGGCAAAGTTGCTTTCCTATTCCGCGACTGCGCTGATATGTCTCATCTCTCCTTATTTCCTTATATGCACTTATGTCACTTGCCCCAGTCACAGCCACAGCGACAGTCCTCGGCGAACTGCCACTGTTAATTCGTATTTATTTTATTGTGCCAGCTTGGGTACGATCTGTGATGATGCACGGATTTATCTTTATACTTGGCGTGTGTCTGTGTCTTCCGTCGGCACATCTATACATGCCTTCAGGTAATGTTACAATTACTAAGTATCATGTGAAGTATGCAAACGAGCAATTATTATTAATACCATATTTTCTTTCCAGATGTTGACTGCCGTCAGCGTGAATTGAGAAAAACGATATCTGTCAAAGTAATATATTTTTGATAATCTTGATAAATAAAAAATCAAGCAGATTAAAAACATAACCTTGTTCTGAGGTTACTTCCCTTCTCTTCCAGATTCGACTTGCACAGAAGGCCAGAAATGTTCACGATGTGGCTCCGATGGCAAGTGCCAAAGTGAGTGTTTTGTTGGATATTATGGCTCACACTGCAACCACAGATGTAGCCAAGGATGCTTAAACAATACGTGTACATTAAACACACAAAATGGTGTCAGCGAGTGCTCTCATGGATGTCAATTAGGGTTGTTTGGCCGAAGCTGTAGGGTGCCCTGTATAACTTCTTCACCTGGATGTAAGCGATGTGCATCTGGATGTGTTGGATCTTACTGCGTGCAAAATGACAGCTGCTGGGGAAACTGTGTCGATTCTTACTTTGGTTCCCAGTGTAAATCATGTTCGAAACAATGTGAACTCTGTAACTACACGACAGGAGAATGCCAAAGGTGTGCGGCCGGTTACACTGGAGGAAAGTGTGAGCATGTGTGTCACAACTGTTCAGGACATTGTACAACGGCACAATGTACTACATGTTTAACAGGGTATTATGGGCAACTCTGTGATGATACATGTAGTATACATTGTGATGTGTATTCCAATTCAACGAGTAGTTCTCCCGTACAATGTGACAAAACGTCGGGGGAATGTAAATATGGATGTAAACGCGGATGGTACGGAGAGAAGTGTAATGAAACATGCAGCAGAGGATGTTATCACAGTGAATGTGACCAGAAGGGCGAGTGTAAACATGGCTGTGTATTGGGTTATTATGGCCCGGGGTGCATCCAGTGTCACCCAGGATGTCATGGAACGTGCGACACCATCAACGGTCACTGCGCTGATGGGTGCAAGAAGGGATACTACGGTTGGAACTGTAGCTTACACTGTAGATCATGTGTGACGAGGGTGTGCGAACAACAGACGAGATTTTGTGTCGTCAGATGTAATTCCACCTATGACAATGACTGTGACAAACTGTGCAAGGAGAACTGTTCTACGTCTGACATATGCCAGACATCCAAGTGGTGCAGTGATGCAATAACTTCCTCGACAACAGAATCAGATTTTGATAAAAAAGGTAAGTATATTTTATGAGACTGTTCCCATATTAAATCTTGGAATGACATTTAGATATTACTGTGAAAAGGGACGTGTTATGCAAACGTATATCCAACATGTAGTTGTAATAATTATTATTCAAATATATATAAGTCGCCTTGATGTGATGCCTTTGGTCTATAAAAGTGTGTTTATTTGTTCCCGATTTCCATGACAAAAAAATCGGATTTAACCTTAAATGAAGATAGGGTTTATATTCGGAGAAAACTCAAAGACCGTTCAATATTTCTTGATCAAACTTTTTACAGTTATCAGTCAAGCCATGCACTAACGGTGGGGTTTGATGGTAACCCCTGTTTCCAGTGACACTACCTTACAGAGACGACAGCATGTACTATTCAACCAGCAGCACATCAGTTTATGAGTCAGTGTCATTGTCTTTTTAGAAGCCACTCCCCGGCTTTTTGGGGGGACTGATTGACGGACTGAATAATTGATGCTTGTTTTATTCAACCTGCCAGGTATGTGATACATGCAACCTTAGAAATTGCCAAACTGTCCAATAGTTAAGGTATCATAAGGACCAGTAGAAATTTGCCATTTTTAAGGGCATTGCTATATGTTATCATCATAAGGACTAGTGGACTAAAACTGTTAGTATATACCGCTCACGCGTAACTAGAACGGATATGACAAAGATGGTAAGTAAACTAAAAGTAAGAGACGCTAGCCGATACATTCCTAAACTCAGCTGGACGGTCCTGTAATTATTTAATAGTGATAACATGTCATGTCAAGACTCTAATAAAATCAATAACAGGACAACACAGACACCAATCAAATCGCCTTACATGTATCTACAGTCGAACCTCGTTGCGTTGAACTCGAGGGGACCTGGTCGAAGTTATCCAGGATTCGAGACATCAGGGGAAATTTATGCTTAACTTGGATACTTGAGGACTTCAAAATGAGTTTGAGACAATCGGGAGTTCGGCATATCCAAGTTCGACATAACGAGTTTAACTGAATTACGTGTACAGTTCGTTTTATAACCATTATCTGATAGACAACAGATAATGCCTAGATGTGTTCCTGTTCTAAAGTATAATAATAGCCCTTGTACCTGTACTCGAATAGTCGAAACGAAGCGTGTTCACCAGGTAGTGAAAAAACGTCTTTTAGAATGCATGTGCGGAGCAAGTAAATAATTTCTCTTTCGACATAATGGAGGATGTGATTAACTATATGTGTAGACATTCATCTTGAACGCAGATATAGGTGTAAACAAAATACATATTGCCCTGGCCATGGAGGATTATATGTCCAAATGTGATACAAATGTAATTTAAGTGTGGAAACATGATTCATTGTATTATTCACAAGTATTTTTATCTTGTATTCAGTGTCTGTTGAACCTAACTACATATTGGACGTGGGAATCATTCTTGCTGTACTGCTGCTGATTGTTATTATCCTATTGCTGTTGCTCCTTCTGCGTAAAGCACCACAGTTTTGTCCACGGTAGGTATGCTTAGACTTTAGAGAGACAATAACCAATCGATATCGTTCGTTACAGTTTTGGATAACGTAAGGGAAACAAAAAAGAAGATTAGAGTTTTGATACAATAGGAATGTCCAAAAGAAAGACAAGTATGTACAGTTACATATTTCTTTCAATAAAAGTATATGACCCGAATTTTAAGTAACACAGATTTTCTTTGGTGGCTTTACAATGGACACTCAAATAAATAATGATGAGTTTCCACATGGATGACCACATTGACATATTGGATCATATTTTATCTCAGTTCTGTAGAAAAAAATATGTCAACTGATCATGACTTTATATGTATCTTAATCGAGTATGATAAATATTCCAACTTTCTCACATCATAGGAAAAATATGAAGGTGCTACACATTGCTCTTTCCCTATGTATGACATAAACTGGGATATAAATGAACACTTTCTTCCTGCTACAGGAATGGTGTTCCATGACCTTACAGTTGATGAAATAAAAGAACATGTTGAGTACTTTAGTCTAGTAGTTAAAATCACAAGAATGTCTGAATTTCTTTAATAATATGATACATTTGAACTTATAGTGGTAGTTATAATGTCTTTAAGATAAGCCGGGGTAATATTACTTTGTATTTCGTAGAACAAACATAGCTTTTACTTCATCCTTTGTTCCATTAACATTTCCCATCCTACTTCATAATACAGATGTTTGTGTTTGGAGCCCAGAAACTATTTTGGCAGCTTCTTGTTGAAGAGTTTCTAATTGACTTGATAGTGCTACATTTCACCCATTTGTATGTTTCAGGCCTATATATGTTTCTAGGAGAAGATTGTCCAACGGAAACGACCCAGAACACGCTGTGGATGTTGAGGAAATGCGTCATATGGATACACGATATGAACCCCTGCATAGGTACTGGGAAATAAACTATAGTGACATGCACAGAAACATGGCTGCGTCCTCTGATGATTCCCAATCCCCTGTACACCTGCGTGAAGGTACGCATAACGCATCTGACGTAAATGAAAGGGACACTTCAGATGTTGAACCTGACATCGATGGACCTCGAAACGATAGTGAGAAAGAATCTCGAGCAGATGTCATTTATGAACGATATTTGTCCCCTTGTATGCCAGAACCGGTTCCGTAGTATGAGAGTGCATTAAAGCTAAATGTTGTACATATGCACAGGGATATATAAAACATCTTTCTCAACTAAGCAGCCAGCTATAGATGTGGTTCAGTAATTTTGAGAAATCACCTGCTTACAATCTGAAGACGTCCCAACACACGATGTGAGTTTAAGAGATAGCTGAGAATTATGTTCTGATGGATACACACAATTATATAAGCTTAAAATATAATGTATCATATGGCCTTTTTCATAGCATAGCTTCGTCAAATGTCTGCAAATGTAAATACTAATTTCAAGGTTGCCAAAGAACTATTTTCAGCGAATGTTGCTCCAATGACTCCAATGTCACTCCTACTCACTGCCCAACCCATGCTTGTCGTAAAAGGCGACTAACGGGATCGGGTGTTCAGGCTCGCTGACTTGGTTGATGCATGTCATCGTATCCCAATTGCGTGGATCGATGCTCATGATATTAATCATTCGATTATTTACAGGAACCGCGTCATATAGCGGGAATATTTCTGAGTGCGGCGTTAAACAACAAACAAACAAAAACATACACACACATAGTCATTGTAACATATTGTAATTATTGGATGACACAAGCTTACAATAATAACTAATAGAAATGGGGCTTCTATATTTATGTGCTCAGACGTGCAAGCTAGACTGGATCGAAAGTAATCTGCCAGATTGTTAGACACCGTGATAAATCCGAACACGATTTGTTTTCCGTGATACATTTTCATCTAACTATCACAGTTCGAGGCGTTTCAACAAATGGCATCAGATGAGCGTTCATCCGGTCTTTCATTCTGTAATTATATAAAAGTCGAATGTTCTTTGTAACGCAGGCACCTGAATAAAGAACGTTCTCCAACCTATCAGAGTTCTGAGATTATTCTAGCAATGTCCTCGAAGTCTTCTATCTGTGGTCTTTGTGACGCTTGCAAAGATTTTCATCACACACAGTTGTGTAAGTCAGCTTATTGACTCCAGCATCTGATTGGGACAGTGTTAGAAACCGCTGTACTGCCCCCGTTTTAGTTATTCACTTGGGAAGGGATGATTTCAAAGGCTAGTACATTTTCAAGTTTCCGTTCATGAACAACTTATTCGACGAAACAGATTCCACTAGGCGGATAAGGCAAAATGTCGGAGACAATAATACCCTACCTTCTTCTCGCGTCAAACGTGTCCACCTCAAAGAACCTCTTCACACTCATGCACCATGTATTTGTGAACGTGGGGATTTCACACCCGTGTCTCTTGCAGATTACAAGCAAAGGAGTCACTGATGATACCAGGCGAAAAGCTAAACCATGGCCTGCCCAATTGTGTAAAAACCACAACTCACACAATTTGCATGACAAAAGTAAGTGTTTGTTACCTGACACCGCACAGCAGTACTTCCGTGGCATGTAACTTAACCAGAACAAACCAAACCAAACATGCATATGTACATTGATCACATATTGTCGTCAACCATTAGATTGTATCTGCATCGGAACCCCACATTAAGCTTTAGATATTTTTTATTTTTTTTATAAAGAACAAAATAATAAATAAATAAAATCTTTGCATCAGTTTGTGAGCACATATCGGGTCTGTTTCTGTGCATGTTAAATAATTATCAATTTTCTTATGCTTCTCGTGGTTAACAATGACAATGTTAACGTATGTGTGGTTATTTATCCAAAGAGCTTTAAGCTGTGTACATTTTTTCCCGTTAATCATTGTGAAAGTTTCCGTATTCCTGCATGATTTTAACATGTAGCTAGATCAGCAACACCGGTAATGTACTACGATGTAACTGGGCTCAGAGTACAACTGCGTGACAATAGCAACCGTATATCCGATACTACTTAGACGTGTGTCACACCTTTCCACGATAAGTAAGTTCAGACTAGTCATATTACTGGTTAGGTTGTGATGAGAGTGATCACTTGCAGTCGACCTAAAAAAAAGTTTAATGCAGACATATTTGACAATTACCGAACGACCATAATCAAACATAATCATGAACAGTTCTGTGACTTGTTCATTTGCGATAACATAATTTAGATGAATATTTGCCCTCCGGCCTCATAACAAAACGTACGTGAGAAAGTATATTTTGATAAACATGGCTTGTTTAAAAGAAACTGATATTCCGAAAAACTTAAAGGACTTACTACGTGTAAAATGCCACCAGTCTTGTTATATGTATAAATAAACCGTATTCATTGTAATAAATGTACAGTCAAAGATCATGCACATGGGATAGCGCTGAACTCAAAATTAGACGGATCAGTAGAGGTAGCGTAACTGAGGAACTACATTGTCAATCCTTTAACATAACACACCTTGACTTGCGCCACTTCTCTACGGCGCCTGCAGAACATTGTCATAATATAGTGGGCAGAACCTTGGGGTAATGACTGCATTGTCTTTTATTGTTTTCATTTAAGCATTCTGATGTAAATAACTAAATACTGCAATTAAAAGACACAACCGATGTCACGTCAGTCATCAATTACTGTTGCGGTTGTTTGCGAGTGTTTGTGACTTTGTCAGGTCAGCCAAAAGAACAAACTCCGATATTTGAGACGAGTTTCACTACCGATTTGTTTGAGAAATCTTTGTAAGAAAGGCCTTCAACGTTTAATATACTAAATTTATTTAAAAGTAAAATAAGTATCATATTAAAGAACCTTTCTTTATTTTGCTGTCAAATAATCAATAAGTTTAAGTAATATAAAATCTGAAGAAAGTTCTCTTCGGTTTCATATGAAATTAAGAAATGTCGAATGTATCTTCGACTCTTCTAAGTTACAAGCACAGTGGGTTCATCTGCAAATTGTTATATTTTTAGATGAAGATATCAATGGATGCCGTTCCGTTTTTCACTTGGTCTTCTTATGTTTGCGCCTCCATTGATTACACACGTATGTTCTGATTACAATGTAAGTTGAACTTATCAAACCGCCTCCGTGGTCTGGAGGATGAAAGGGTGTCCCCAACCGCGCCATACCAAAAGACATTCAAATTAAAGATGGTACTTGCTTCTCTGCCTGGCGCTTAGGTTGGTTGGATTGTTGTTTCACGCCGCACTCAGCAATATTCCAGCTATATGACGGCGGTCTGTAAATAATCGAGTCTGGACCAGACAATCGAGTGCTGAATATCATGAGCATCGATCCACACAATTGGGATCGATGACATGCTTCAACCAAGTCAGCGAGCCTGACCACCCGATCCCGTTAGTCGCCTTTCACGGCAAGGATGCCTGGCGCTCAGCGTGAAGGGGATAACACAAGGATTGGTTGGCTCTGAGTCATTATACTGTGTGTAAGTGGGGTATCCATGTTCAACTGCGGCATGGTATCTCAGGGGGCTAGCACTATACTACCGGCTTTAGTGCGCGCGAGCGCGCGCGCGCACACACACACACACACACGCACGCACACACGCACACACGCACACACGCGTGCATTTAAATGCGCAATTATCTTGAACGTGACTTTAAACCCCCATTTCACCTTATCCACGAATTGAGCTTTTCGATGGTTTACTGTGTCAAACGTATTCAGTCTTATTATCGCAGCCACACACGAGGTGGCAGTATGCCAGATAAGGGAAACATGTTATGTCATATTTGAGTTAAGTGTACGTGTTCTATTTTTGATAAACCGACCCGTTGTCTTGTGGTAGAGCGTCTGCCCGGAGAGCGGAAGGTCGGAAGTTCGATCACCGGTCGCGTCATACCAAAAGACCTAAAAAGATGGTACTTGTTGTTACACTGCCTGCGTAATTAAAACAAGGGGCTACAAGTACTGGTCGGCTCGGAATCAGTATACTGTGTCTGAGTGTTCATGTTAAACTACGGCATGGTATCTCAATGGGCTAGCTAAACAAAATCGGCATTAGTCCGGACTAGTACACACACACACACACACACACACACACGTGCATGCACGTCTGCCTGAGTGTCCGTCGAAAGGTAAACTTAGCATCTGCGAGAGAACCTACACATCAAAACTGTCAGCATGCACACGAGAATGGTGATACATATCATCAGATATAAAAGTGGATGTGGAGCGAGAAAAAATACTGTATTTGAAGGAACTAAATTTCAGAACAGTCCTTGTATTACAGCAACGTAAGTTTTACAGGAAAGAAATCTATATTATTACTACAAGACTTGAGATTTTATCAGCAATATGATGGTACAATGTGTTTATTTCAATTCAGCAATATTTGATAGCGAAATAGTGAAAGGAAAGCTGTCACGCTCAAAAGAACTTCGTAGCAGGACAGGGTCATTGTTGATGATAAATATAACAGATAAGGTTGGATAGACCTGGTTGTAACAATATCAGATACTTTTAGCGATTCTCTATGTTAATCAGTTGAAGAGAAACGAATTCACATTGTGTCATTGTTCACAAAAATGTGAAACGACAACATTCATGGTTCATGACGTCATCTGAGTGAGTGAAGTATGCCCGTCATAGACGTTTACCAATTTGGTGACGCACACGAGTACCTGTATTACAACCCGTATTATAACGAATCAGGACCTATAATCAAGGCGAATCTGTCATTCGAACCCACAATCATATGTTTCTGGCGTGCCAATGTCACCGACGTCATCTTAAGAATAGGCTCACTTTAGAAAAAAATAAATTAGACATTTCATACGCCTTTCTTAATTTACCCTGTTATAATGATATTGCGCAATATAAAGAACAACTTACTGGAAACTCGAAACTACAGATTTCATGTCCCTCGTAAATGAAAAGTATATCTCTCGCCTGTAGTTCATTAGCTGTTCTCTAATTTCGAAAGCATCTCTTGAAGCATATCACAAACACGGATTAAAGCAACTGAAATCTAACCTTTCTGTTCTGAAAACCAACCCTTCCACTGTACCCTCGTCAGGAATGCGAACGCTGTAACATGCATGAACTGAATTACATTTCGCCCTTTAGACTAGGCATGTTAGGACTGGTTAAGTTTAAAACAAATAAGTACATGGTGATAAGCGTTATATTTAGGGGAGTGTTGAACGGCTTTTTTTATCCTAGACGCACACAACACTATCAGCACAGCGACAGCTACAATGTACATTACCCCGTATAACAGCCACGTACCAAGGTGTTTTGGGTCTTCTCATATATCTTGACATTAGCATAAGCACGTTAAACCTGCCCTAAGATATGATGTATGGATGTTTAATTGCACGGTTGTAAATAATAACAATGCTTTATCATGTTATCATGTCAGTGTCAACTCTGAACAACTCTTATGGCAACATTGTTTCCATGGAATTGTATAAAGTTATTACTTACAAAACTTCGATTTTAAACAAAATGAATGTGTTCCTGAATATGTACTCCATACATACCAACTATGCAATGCGACTAAATAGTTATATCAAGGTAATTAAGTATTTAAAAGTGTTTATAATAATTAACATACGATTTGTCTTTAAAAGTCATTACACTCATTTCAAAGGTCGAGACTCTGTCGTTGATCGGGTCAATTATGATTAGACCCCAGACATGTTCAGACTCCAATGCGCTTATCTGGATCATTCATTTCGTATCATTCGTGAAAACCAGGCTAAGGTGATTCCTCTTCATGTTCAGGTGTGTTAAATTGGAATTTATCTAGAAATGTACTGAAACCCACGGGAATCATATCTATTGCATAAGAAATATATTATCGTTCACGATTACGCTTATGTGGGAATGTTTTCAGTGAGGTAAGTCATTACAAGTATTTGCAAACACAGAACCATCCCTGAACCGACGAAATATTTTCCATAATTATTAGAAATATCTGCTAAAATGAGGTCATTGTTGGTTTGAGTAAATAAAAGTGGCTAAATAAAACACATGCCCAAAAGTTTAATCAAGGAAGACCTATGTATCTAGACAATCAAATGTTAGTGGACCACACAATCCAGTGACTCGATAACGCAATTACTGATCAGTTGAAACTGAAAACGACACAAGGTCCCAGGCCTTTAGCTATTTTAACCAGACCAATATATACACTCCCATTCATCCAGCTACTTTCATAAGAATAGTATATGAACTTACGATTCAATCCTATTTCGCGAACACATGTGTCACTGATTTTCACTGATCTATTTACTCCATGAGCCAGACCACATTTTTGTTATTAAGCTTTACCACCTGGGGTGCTAAAATCTCAGTATGATTTTTTGAAAGTCATATGTCCATAGATGAAAATACTTTGAAAGCAACCCG